AGGAAGTCTAACAGATTAATGTTACATGAGAAACATCCGACAGGAACGAAAATTGTACAACCAAATTTTGACATAGCAAGTTACATTTCTTTCTCAGTCGAATTAGATATATTACTATAAAACTGCATCATAGGAGCACTTTACTTAAAGGCTTCTATCACTTTGTTACATTATCTCAATCAAAAATTTAAAGAAAAATGATTTTTGGTCACTGAAAATTTAAATGAAATTTTTCATAGTACAAGTTTATCACAAAATGTTTTGTTAATAGCCAGAGTTTATTCATGGCCACTTCTGTTCTTCAAATTTCTCTGCCTTTGGTGATTGTCACTGTTTTTCAATAGTATTAATATACAAGATTGTTGCAGTAATGATTATCATATCAGCAAAACAAAACAGTAAATTCAATAAAAGGAAACTTTTTTTTTCATTTTTTGGATGCATATAGCATGATTTTCTTAGCATATATTTTGATTTCATGTTTCATCAAACTTTCTAACATTTGAATTCAATTTCAAAATGGTTCTATCTTTAAGGAACACATAAAATTCATTCAATATACATGCATTTATTATAAAATAATAATACAGAGAATATTCAAATTTACACATTTATTAAATACATTTCAAGCTTGTATAATTTCTATGCACAAGCTATTTAAAATGGATAATTTTAATTTAAAATTTCTTTAAGAATAGAAAAATGCAAAAACTATAAGTAAAATAAGAAATATTTCAAAAGTTTAAAATTCCTTTAACAGCAACAAAACTTTATCAATAAATAGGTATCATTTTTTAGACATAAATTTCTTTAAATAGTTAAAGCAACAAGGAAAATTACAAAACAAACACTTTATTTTTTAAATAAAGTTTATTAATTTGAATGTTATGCTGTAAGTAACTTAATAAAGAACTAAAACTGTGGTACAACATTTTAGCACATATCATAAAAATTAGTCAAAAGAAACATTTTCAGTTACGCAAGCTGGCAAATTGCCAAAATTGAGGAGAAAGTTATTTTAAATTAGAAAGATGAACAGCAGAGATTAAAATAAACATAGCATTATTCATCTTCCTTAATAATTTTGCTTTTTAATTATAACAAAATTTACACGGTCTTTTCTACCTCCTTTCATGCCTTCAAGGTGTAACTAGAAGCACCTCCGAAGCGATGCCTAACTGGGAGGTCAGGAGTTTGAATCCAGTGAAGATTTCTTCAGTTTCATGCATCAATAAACCTAATGACTACAAACTATATGGCATTTTTTTTTCTTCAAATGTTTACCTTAACACAGTTAATAAAAGATATTTTTAATACTACATATTAGGTTACAAAACAATCTGTTCATTGTTAGCAAAGAAATTGCTTGTCAAACCTTTTTTTTTTTTTGGGGGGGGAGGAACTTTAAATTAAAAAAAATTTTTCTTATAACTTCTGAAAATACTTAATCCTTCTTTTGAAATAAAAAACAGAATATCATTTTAAAAGCAAATATTAATGCACATTTCTGTTTTTAAATCTAAATTATAATTTAAGGTTACTAAATTTAAATTATAAATATTCAAAAATAGTTATATTTTAGCTACACATTTAAAACGTAGAACATACATATAAAAATTAAATAAAATTCATCACAGATAGAGTAGCACTTGCTAAATACTTTTCATTGGGACTAGTAAAAATTTTAAAATAGCAATTTATCTAAACAGTTTATTAGAAATGCTAGTTCTATTTTGCATACCAAATTTCAGACATCAAATAAAATGTTTCCTTTCTGAAAATCAGCCTTGTGTATAAATAATATAAAATAGAAGTTTATCACAAAATGTTTTGTTACTAGCCAGAGTTTATTCATGGCCACTTCTGTTCTTCAAATTTCTCTGCCTGTGGTGATTGTCACCGTTTTTCAATAGCATTAATACATGAGATGTTGCAGTAATGATTATCTCATCAGCAAAACAAAAACAGTAAATTCAAGTAAAAGAAACTTTTTCATTTTTTTGGATATGTAGCATATTTCAAGCATGATGTAAAGTAACACCACAAAATTACATTAAAACACTTTGCAATTTTCATACAAACTGGAGCTCATTAGTTTGGAGGGAAATTAATATATAATTATCAAAAACTATATGTTCCATCAACATCTAGTTTCTGCAGAATACTCAAATCATTCAGCTTGCTAATTTGGATCTACTCAAACAGTATATACACAGCATTTTCTAACTAGACTTTTATAAGTACCAGAAGGATATATAGATCACTAAAACAAATGAGAGATTGAAATGTGTTAAATACAAAAGTAATTTATATGAAATGCTTAATGCAAATTTGATATGTGCATTAATTAGTTAATGTAACTCAGACAAATGATACAATTTCTCATATTGCAATAGATATTAACTAATTCTTGATATTTTTTACATTAGATAACACCCCTTTTTTTAAGAAGCATTATTTGATAAAATGTTAAAACCTGGCTACTACAGATTAATTTTAGAAATTTATACACTTTATTAATACAAATTATTAAACACTGTGCTAAATTTAATAGAAAAAATTCAGTATTAAATAAAAATTAGGCTAATGCATTTTGAAATGCACAGCACCTTTACATCAACAGGGAAAGAAAAAAGGGGGGGGGACTTTACCACCTAGTATCAGATTTGAAACTAAACATCTTAACTTGACATTTTTAAAGAAGTTTATACATTACATAAAAACTTTAAAAAATTGCTTTTTATTAACTTTGATGTTTTTTTAAAAATCTGATATACATTATAAACTTATTTCTTTTTAAATTCATACTAAATTGTTGTATTTGCTTATTATTATTATTATTATTATTATTTTTAGTTCATATGGATTAAATATTCTCACTATTAAGAAATTTTCCCAATACACAAAGCAGCATTAAACTTATGAGCTGGTAATAAGTATTCAAATTACTCAACATGTTAAAGACATGATAAATTGATTCTTCAATACAAGAAGGAAAGCACCTCATAAATTTTTATATTCTCACCATTAAAAAATTTTCCCAATACACAAAGCAGCATTAAACTTATGAGCTGGTAAAAGTATTCAAACTACTTACATGTTAAAGACATCATAAATTAATTCTTCAATACAAGAAGGAAAACATCTCATAAATTTTTAATATTTTATATCCCATTAGATAACTACAGCCAAAGATTAAATACTAATATTTTATTTTTTAAAAGTTTGTTTATTTTTAGTATAAGCTTATGTTAAATGATGGAATTACATAAAAATTTACCAGTTTAATCATAAATAAGGACATTATAATTCCCAATTTGTTTTATTTCCACCTTTAAAAAGAAACATCCAGCTGCCAAAGAGATAAATCTGTAACAAACTAGTAGTTTGTCCACTGACTAGCCCTGACAACTAAATGGTTTGTGTTTATGAGCTTTTTTTCTCATGAGTAATTTAATACGAACAATTTTCCTTAGAAAATTTCGCCGAAAGGAACCCTTCTTCCATATAAAAATCTACTGTATGCTTTTCATAACCAAATAATCCTATTCAAGTAGGAAATGGGATTTTAATTGCTAAAAAACCTGTTTGAACAATAAAAACAAAGTTTCTTTGATTCATTTCTCTTTGAACTATCATCAGCAGTAGAAAAGGGATGCTTGCTCAAAGAAACAGTTTTCCAATCCTGAAAAGTCTTAATACTGATTCAAATAGAAAGAAAATGGTTTCAAAATTGTATATCACGGTGGAAAAACTGATCTCTATATTATAATTTCAGTTGAACATTTAATAGTGGTTTATCACCGGAAAGCAAAAGAAAAGTAGGATTTATGACAAACATATCTCTAAAAGTTACCCATTTAAAGGCACAATTTTTAACATAATAAAGAATTTTGCAGTTATACAATGGATTTCAGTGCTTCTGGAGTCATATCAACACATGGAGATAACAATAAAATCTTTCAGATATATATAAAAGATATTTATCCTTAAAAAGTGTGTTTAAAATTTTGTTCGAAATTTTCTGCAGGATTGCAACAAAATAAAAACTTTAAAACTGACGCAATCTTCTTAGGACATGAAAATATTAGCAAGAAGCAAAAAATTACAGAGATTGCAGCCATGTAGGTAAAATTGTAAACTATTGATAGTTTGTCCTAATTACTGTTCCTAATAAGTAAATAAGCTAAAGGCATAAAATATAATGTTAATAAATATGTATGAGTTCTTTTAGAAAGTTTCCCATAAAAACCATGCCTATATGTAGATAGCCTCAATGTCCTTCGCCAAAGTTATATAACATAATTTAATACATTTTTCCTCCTTATTGAATGGTATAATAGTAGTCAAGCATAAGAAGATTCAAGGTATGGTTTATATAAGGTGTTCTGAAAAAGTTAGGTCATTGAATATCTCTTAGCAAATGTTCCTGTTCCAAGAAATGAAGCAAGCTAAGGAGAGAACTATTAAATTGGTACACTTTGATCATCACATTTTTTTAAAAATAAAAACATAAATTAAGAACTTTTGCTCAGGGCCTTTATGAACAAAGTTTTAATTAGTCAGCTTCTTGATATCTCACAAAAATCTTTTAAAATAAGAAAATATTTTGCAATACACAAAAATTTGCCATTGCAATTACATGAATCACTTTCATCTAAAGCAGGGTTTCTTAAAACCTTTTTCAGTCATAAACCCTTTTTATCACTGAGATTTTTTCGAGACCCTCAGGATTCCATAATATTTACAAAAAATTTGTGGGACTCCATAAGTATTACGCAAATCCGACACACGAGTGAGTAAAACTGACAGCTTTTTCACTTGTACTCTAATATACTATTGCAGTTTTAGGTCATTAATTTTAATTTCTAATTTTAAGACATAGAACAATGGGAAAATTTTAAATAAGTAACAGACGAAATGACAGCGCCATGTGCAAAGCAAGTAAAATGAACCTTTATATTATTTAAAAAAAAAAAAAAAAATATGCATCAAAAAAGTTTTTTTTTTTTTTTTGTCTGTATTGTCTTATCTTTATCTATTTTCAGATACACTGTGTAAAAATATTTAGCAACTGTAAAATTATTATAAGTTAAAGAAATATCAAAACTGCTAAAATTTTTTGGCAACCCCCTGCTCTCGACACACAGTTTAAGAAACCCTGACCTAAACAATAAGGGAAAAAGGGGGATTACCTTACAAAAACAGAATACCTCCAGATTTTTTTTTCTCCCTTTATGTTTCTCTGATAAGGTGGCTACCTGTCAGAAATATCAAGCTCTAGCAACATGTGATTATTATCTATAATTACACAATAAAAATTAGTTGATACTATTTTAGTAAATTTGATCCCACACAGTTAAGCTTTCATTTTCTTGTTAAATTTCTGCAGTCTTTGCTGAAACTGTCATAATCTGAAACCCAGTTTTATTCGATTCCAGTTTCAAAGTGGAATCTATAAATTTTTAAGATTCAAAAGATGTTTTGCTATACAATCTTTTAAAACAACTTATTTTATGATGAACAAGAAATTGATACACCATCACAATTTTATAAGACTGGTAATGCTCTACATGTATTTCAGCATTAGATACAACTTACATAACTGAATTTAAATTTTCACATTTTGATTACATCATTAAAAACTTTAAAAGACAATCTTATTTTATACATGCCACATTCATCCAATTTTACATAAACGTGAATGATTTGATGATTTCAGATAACATATCCCATGAATACAGTTAAAATGTAAACAATCAAATATGAAAATATGATTATGGTATATATTTCAAACATAATTCAATATCCTTATTTAAAATTAATATTATTTAGTGGACATCAGTTTAGCCACAAAGACTCTTTAATAATATAAAACTCTAAACTTTCTGAAAGTGAGGAATATTCAAGATGGTAGAAAATGTTTGAAAGTTTCAAATCAGACAACTGCAATTTGCCTACTCTTACCGATAATAAAAATGCCATATTATCAACAATTTAAATATAATAAAAGAACCTGCAATTTACTACAGCATACATTTTGAATGAAGTTTTAATTATTCTATAATTAATTACAGTATGAAAAATTGATCGTTATATGATTTTTAAACAGTTTTTTCACTTAAAAAATATAAAATTCAAATCCCAGAAAAAATCATCATTTTAAGACATAAATTCTTATGCTAATAATAATATAACATAATATAACACCCATGCTAATAATAATATAGCTCTTTTTCATTAATATTCTCTGTTTTCATGTACAAAAGATTCCAATACCTAATAAGTCCAAAACAGAAAAATTTATTCAATTTGTCTGAGCCATGCAACTAATTAAATGATCAGAAATACTCCTACAATATGAGGAAACCATTATAATTCCACAAAATGTGGTACAATATATCTTCAGAAATAGCACAAAAATTTACACAGTTCAGAACAATCACTTAACAAACTGCAGAATAATTTCTCATTTTTTCTGCTTCTGATTAAGTAAAAACTACAGCTTTTACTACTTATAACATGTATGTACTAGCAATTCATCACAGCATCAATAAAAATATCAAAAACATCACAGAGTTTAACATCTAGAGTAATTTACAGCATACATAAATTCTGTAGGAATTACAAATGCAGAGCTGGTTGATTCAAGATGAAAGAAAAATTATCAAAACTTAGAACAGCTTACACAGTACAAAGCCTGAAATATGGATGTCCAATATACAGACCTTTGGACTATGAGGAATTTATTTTACAGAATTTAGGAATGGAGAATATAATACTCCATAAAAGTAGGTGTGTTGTAAAAATTATTTTCCTTTTGACTAACTGAGATTCTTGTGTGTCACTTTTAAATTTGCTGGCCTGGGAATCACACTATTGTGGTCAAAGACAATATAATGACTATGACTGATGTTAAGCATGACCATTGGCCCTTGAATGACTGTGAAGTTTGGAAGCAAGAGTAATATTTTTCTCACCTAAACAGTATGTGAAGCCTCAAGACATATCAGCTGAATGGGGTGAAGCTAATACTAGTTTTCTTGGGTTGGCATAACTGAAGGAAGAAAGAATTAGATTTAGAAGAAATTACGTTCAGTTAATATAGCAAACTGAATTCTTCCTTAAATAATTTGACTCAGCTCATTATTTTCTGCAGACTATTATTATTATTATAGCCCTCTCATCAAAATTAAAGTTTGAATTTTCAGTTACGCTGAAGAACTAAATCAGTCTTCTAGTGTGTGTGGGGGGGGAAATTAGTACAATTTGCATTTACAAAAGTACCACTTCAAAATTAGGCAAAACAACCTTATTTTGGAGTATATTTTGAACACTACAGAAGGAAAAATTTTACTATTAATGGAATTTGGGAAAAAACGTAGATCAGTGATAATAAATAAAGATAATTTGCGATGACAACCCTAGTCACCAATGAACTAATGGAATCAAGTGTCATGTCATCAGTGTTTCTAAAAACACAGATTTTAAAACATAAAAACAACATTAAATTACTTTTATCTTGAGAATTGAAACTTACTTTCATTCAGACTGATAAAAAGTGAAATGTAATATCTGTATTTTATATCACAAATGCTTATTCTCTGTCATTAAAATGTTCAAAGTAAATACTGGATATATATAAAAGATGAATAGTTTAAAGCTGAATTAATCTAATCACAGAATGTGCAGTTTTTGTGACAATATATACATTAGAAATGGAGCTTTTACAAAAATGGAGTCACAAAATAAAAATTTTCTTACATTAACTATTACTTCAAGTTTTTGTGCTCAACTAAAATTTTTTCAAAACATAACAGTTTTCTTTTTTAGGAAATACATTTATATTATTTAACTCGGAAAGATGTATGAACAATCAAAGGGAACAGATTAGAGCACACAGTAATTTCGTTAAGCAACAGCAAGCTATCATTTATAACTGTTTAGAATTATCTTTTAATTAATTTTACAACAGTTAACTAAGTTAACTAAAATTATATTAATTATTGTACATATTTTTACAGACATAAACATTAAGTACATGGTAAATATTTCTATTAATTTCTTCAACTGATTAAAACAGACCTTTAAAATCAAATTTTTTTCTTTAATTTATTTTATGTTGATTTTGAAAAGTTCCATATTATTTATTTTCAAACAGGAAGCTATATTGAAAAATATTCAATAAACACAAAAACTGAAATTTATACAATTAAAAAAAATAATAACGATATTTTAATGCTTATAACAGAAAAAAGCGAAAGATAATAATTAAAAATTAAAAGTGCAAACATTCAGCTCTGGTTAGAAGTTTGCAATATTCGGCAGATATAAAGTAATATGCAACCTAGAATATTCTATACATCTCTATAGTATTATTCACAACACTTCACTACTCAGCAAAAGCAGCTTTTATAACCCTTTCCCATTCATTTTACTAACAGAAAAAAAAGTAGATCTTATTAAAGGCTTTTACAGTGTATTTGAGAAAGACTACATGGATAATCATATATTTAATGACTGATTGCCTATCCATCATTCCAGCTTAAGAAAAGAGTATCAAAGAGAAAAATGTTTGTCATAACCAAACTAATCCAAGGGGGGGGGATCCTCACAAGATCATAATTACATGAAACATTTTTAATCAAGATTTTGGGAGCTTGCATACAAATATCACTAATTTAAAATTTTAAATGTAAATTTCTCAGCACAGCTTTTATATCAAGAAATATGTGAGTTTTAAATTCCCAATTATGAAATGCTAAACTTCAAAATTTTTTATATAATATAATTCCTTTTATACTCTTCCACTTGCATATAATATTTTCATTGTGAGATAAAGTGGCTAAGACAAATTCTGACATGTATTTTTCAATGCGAATTTTGCATGTATTTGGATCTTCTAAAAGACCTTTAAGGAACAATTTATTTACAGAAAGCATGCATAAAAATTAAAATATTGTGTTTTTTAATTACAGGTGCCACAGGATTAAAATTTCAGATTGAAATTACAATAGGCTTACAGCGTGCCCTTCCAGAAATTTATTTGAAATATTTTATATAATAATACTAACTGAACTTAAAATAAACAGCATTTCCATAATAATAACCTCAACAGCCATTTGAAAGATATATCTTACCTTATTATATTTACAATTTTTAGAATTTAACTACATTCATTCATACTCCCATGTCAAAAATCTCTATTCTTTATGCAGCTAATCAGTACAAATAAGTTCAAAGTTTATAAACACATTAAATTATTTTGAAAATTTAGCAAAAATAAATAAAAGCAACAAGTACCATAAAAAAAAAAAAAAAAAAAAAAAAAGAACTACACAATCAATTTTAGTTTGCTGATCATTGAGAAATACATAAACTACTAAGAATCTCATATATAATCACTGGAAAAATAAAATAAAGAAAGTTACTTTATGACAAATACAGCACAAAAACATTTACTGACATAAAATACTGGAAAAAAATGAAATTTGAAATTTTAAGTCTGACAAGTACTTTTTATCAATAACTCACATGTGGCCAGCAAAATGATTCTTAACATAACACAAGAAATTCTTATTATTAACAGACTTGAAGGCAAATATATAGTTTATCTTGCAAGAATTATATTCCAAAAATATAATATAAATATTACACATAATAAAGCTTCCAATATACAGCAAAATGTAGCCTTAAAAATTGAAATATACACTTCATAAGAAATATGGTGGGATTTGTTAAAAATCTTAACATTCTTAAGCTGTAAAAAACAAAGCTTAAAAAGTAAGTAGTTTGTATATAGTTGAAAAATGGCACCTGTTATTAATCATTCAAAATCATAATAATAAATTCATAAATAACATGATACAATAACATACACTATGAAAAAAAGCATAACTTATACAAAAGTTTACAGAGAAATAAAATACTTAAAAAAATCAGATCAATAATTGATCAGTGAAAATAAAACTTTTAAAACAAATACAGAATCACAGAAAAATTTATATAAATAAATACAGAATCACAGGAAAATATATACATACAAAAATTATCTAGCACGTAACTTAAACTATAGAGGTACAGAACACAACTGGCAATGTTCATGAATAAATGGTTATCACTTCTCGTCCTCCACCTCTGACCATAAGCACTCGTTCCAGACCTTCAGTAAGGACTTCTAAAAATTCCATATCTTCAAATGTTAAAGCACAAGTAATTTTATTTAAAATATAATGCATTAAAGAATCTGCACAAGGTACATACTATATGATGTCAGAAACATCTTTTTCTAACTAAAATAATGCAGAAAATGTTCATAAAAATTATCAGTTCCACATATTATAACTTAAATATACTTAAAATTATACTAATTAGATAAATTATTAAAATAAAAGCAAAAGGGACTATCAAATCTGTTAATTACTGGCAAGATAATAGGCTGATTGTTCCTAGCAGGTCTAGATAGGGAATAACAGATTTAACTATAATTTAAAAAATATTAATAACAGCTATAATTTAAAAAACAAAATGAAATGAAAAAACACAGTGCCCATCAAGACAGTTGATTACCAGTGGCTTACATATGAATGGTCACAGGCCAGTTGGGGCAATGCAGCCAATTCAGAAAACATCAAAACCAAAGGACACGTCAAGTCAATCAGTTGGTTGGTCACAGGTGATTTATAAATTGATAATCACTACTGGTGAACTCATATGTTATTGCTGTAAGAAGAACGCTATATTCAGATTGCACAGGGGGGGGAATCTATGTACACTGCGGGGCAAAAAAAAGGGAGGAACAGTTTTATATCTCCCATTCTACTGGGTAAGAAGAACTGATTCAGATTGCACAGGGGGGGGAATCTATGTACACTGCGGGGCAAAAAAAAGGGAGGAACAGTTTTATATCTCCCATTCTACTGGGCTGATTGACAAAATTCAAATTGCGTTTTTCATGTCTCGCAAGCGCGGCATAGGATATTAATTGGATTTACATATAGCACTATTCTAACATACATATTTTGACACAAAATCGGACTTTTTCTGAAATAACATACCAATATTTTTACATATTTTGATTCTGCGATTCAAGTTATGCCTAAATATTAAAGTCTGTAAAATTTGGTGCAAAATTTATGGAGAAACTTGCGTTTTTTTCCAGTTTGCACAAAGAATAGTTCACTTGGCAAACTTCTTAATATACGGCAACCTATTTTCCTTTTCCTTTTTACATTGTGCATGAGAGGGAAAAAAATCACGATGTTCTTTCTTTCAAATAATGTTCTTAATATTATATTTTATGTTATTATTTTAAATATTTTTCGAATTTAATTTTAATTGTTTAAGTTATATGGTTTTTTTCAAATAACTGTTTTAAAAATTTCTATTTACTCATTCGAACTGCATAGTTTAAATAAAAGGTGCATCGTGTATCATTATTATTTTTTTTTCAAATAGTTTTCTTTATACTGGGCAAAAATATACCGAAGTTGGTGCACAACTAAGTTCACTATTCTACTAAGAGTGTCATATGTAAACAAATGGGGGCCTCGTTAGGCCTAGTGCCCCTTAAAATTTTAAATTGTTGATACTTCTAAAATTACAGCATGCACATTAACTAATGGCATAAAATCTTTAACTGGAACATATAAACAACATAATATTCAACCACTTTTAAAGCAAAAAATACACAATTTACCAACACATAATAATTAAAATACTGAGTTCAATGAGCCAGGTAACAAGGTTGGAATATACATACATACATATTTGGTGCGGCCAATTGACAAAAAAAAAAAAGGGGGGGGAGATGCACAACTAAATATTATAGCAACCCCATGTACAAAATTTCCACGTTCTAAGGCTACTGATTTTTGAGTTATGTAAGATACATACATATGTACAGACATCCTCCCCCCTCATCTGAATCTATTTTAAATCTGTTTTGGAAAAAAAAAAAAAAAAAAAAAAAAAAAAAAGTCCTTTATTCTATCCATACATACAGATGTTAAACAAAAAAATCTTTTAAATGGATTCAAGAGCGGTCAAAATTGGTATTTTGGTTGAAATACAACACCCAAAATTTTTCAGGATTATACTTCCTTTACTTCATACACGGAAGAAAAATTACAGGGACTACAGAGGTATTTGCTTCTAAATAAAATAACCAGTATTTAAACTTTTAATAAATACAATTGCAATATTCAATTTTTACTAAGCAAATGCATGATATTCACAAATATTCTTTTCAACAAGAAGTAAAATGTTAAATTGATTAAAATAATTTTTCTTTTGACAATAATCAGAGTTAGAGAAAAAACAGAATTGATGTATCTACAGCATATTTTTTAGTGTAAAAAAGTTTCTCATAGTTATGAAACTAACACATGTAAAGAGTGAAGAGATGGTTTAACTTTTACAGCTGACAACAGAGACACAGGAAAGTAGTTGAAGATATAGGTGAATTAAAAGGATTTATTCAACAACATTACAAAAATATTATTATGGGAGTTGACCTTAAAACAAACTACTAAAAAGCTTGCTAAGTATATTGTTAATGTTTCTTGTTACAAGCATTAACACAAGTAATAATATAATTCAGAAGCAATACAAAAAAGTAAAGCAAATAAAACTACAACTTGTACTTTCTGGAAAATCACAACATTAACTACATCAGCCACAATTGTACATTTTACTATAACCTTATTTAGCAAGAAACAGGTAGCTTCTTTTATGATTTCAGTTTCTTATTCCTGCTCTAGAAAGTTGTGCTTCATTCATTTAACCTAAACAAATAATGTATTATTTTACTTTTTTCTTTCTTAAATTATTTTTTGTATGTTACATATGAATGTGTCCAACAGCATTTATTTAGTAACTTATATTTTAATATATACAATTTTTTTAAATACATTTAACTTAACTGACTTTGCAACAACAGGCACAACTTTTTTGGCTTTAAACTTGTTAAAATGACTTTTTACTGCAGTTTTATAAATTTCAGAAATCAAATATGACAATTACTTAACAAATAATGAAGTATGAAATACTAATACTAATAATGAAAACTACTTAATACTAATAACAAAAAATGCATTTTTTCTTTTCTGTTAATGGAGCACTAGTTGTAATTGCATGCCAAAGCACCAAATGTGGTAACTTAATTTATACTGCATCACAAGCAACTATGCAGTGAAGCAGGAAAAATGAACATCAGTCCATTAATTTTTTCTCTTGATTTTCAGTTTTTTAAAAAATTTTTATTAATTTTTTTTGTTTAAATGGTGAAATTTTCTCAAAAACTATTTTAAGGTTGTGAAGCAGGGCAAAATGATGAAATAAACTTCAATGTGGCTCTACCCACCCTTCTTATACCTACCACCTTCCTACCTAATCAAATTCATGCGGTGTTGACCACATGAGAAGACACACATGTTTACGGCAATGTAAATGAAACCAGCAGCTTTATGCTTCATTTTGTAATCTGAAATTAATCTAGTAAAAATCCCTTTCATATTTTTTAAAACTTTATTCTGGACTTAAACTGGTGCAGGCGCATATTCACATTACAAAAGGAAGGTGAAATAGTTACTCTTTCATGAAGCTCTATATAAGTTAATTAGATTCTGGACCAATATTTAATATTTGGCACTAAGTGGCATCCCATTAACAGAAAAGGACTATAAATTTTTAATAATAATTAATTATTAAAAACTGTTTTGTATCTAAATTATACATTTAAAATTGCAACTCAGCATTAAAGATAAAGACAGTTATGAAGGATACAGTTAGCTTTTATAGTAGAAGCCTTCGGTAAACCTGGAAGATTTAAAATAACTAATTGAGCATTGTGAGATTTTGCCACAATTACTTCATTCAATTTGACTGCTGTATGCATTCTGCGTACATTAGCTTCATCTCTAAAAAACAAACACACAAAATGTTTAGGATTTGCAAAATTTACTGTTCAAATACAGAACATTAACTCTAACTTAACTATGCAACATCAATTCAAAATAATAATCAAATACATTTATTGTTATCATTCGAAATTCGTTATGCTGTAAATGAATAAAAAAATATATATACACACCAAATGGTAAATTCAGTTGCACATAATTAAATATATCTGATATAGATCTGATTTATAAACTCAAGCAATGAGTTAATAAATCTAAAATGCACATACAAATCAGCCGCAAAAAATAACCAGGGAAAAATACTGCATTCTTCACCACATTATTAACAACTTCTACATAGAACACTACAGATTGCTCTTCTGGGTTACACATTATATTTACACAGCAATTTATAAAAAATTTCCCCTTTCTGCTTTCATTATAACTGACTAATAAGACAAGAAAATGGGGGTTCAATTATCCTTTCTGCTTACTTCCAATATTTTCCAATTCATGACTGATTTAAAATGAAGATTTTTAAACACTATAGATAAAAAAGTTGAAAAATGCACTAAATAAAGACATATTACTTACGGTCTTATTGTTAAAAGTTTATCAAATGAACTTTCTTTGTCAATTTCATCAGGATTTGGTAAATCTTCCTCCAAAACAGTATCTCCAGCTCCGTTTTCTGATGTGACATCAACGAGCTCAATATTCTTTATCTCTTCAGTGACATCATTAAACCTCACTCTTGAACCAGGCTTAGGACCAATGTGATGGTGATGGTGATCAACAATATTTTGAACCTGTATATTCATATTTTACAGGAAAATCAAACAACTGTGCAGAAAAGTGAAATAATTTCTTTTATAAACACTCATTTTCAGCATCAATGTCAAATGAATAATAATTTCAGTTGTGATACAATTACAAAATGTATACAGATGATTACAAGGATATGAAGGTTTCAGCTTCATTAAAAAATGGCAAATTTTTCAAAAAGTATTTAATAAATTAAAGAAATTATTAATAAAAAAATTAGCAAACGATTAGTTTAGTTTATAGTAATACATGTTTTTTTCTTAATTTTTTCAATGGATTTTAATTTTTTAATCAAACCTGTTGTTTCCATATGAATTTTACTTGGTGTGGCAAATTTTTTTTCTTATAATTCTCTATATTCTTCGTATATTCAAGCATCACAGAGCAATAATATGGAAATTAAGTTGTGAAAGACTATCTGAAGAAGGAATTTCCACACAGATTGATTTAATGCTTAGTCCAGTTTCATGACCACTTTAAATCAGTAGGTTCAAAAGTACCTTCACGAGGCATTATTTAACAATATCATCAAGCACAACCGCAACAGAGTTACATGAAAGTGTCTGAAGAAAACTTCCAGACAGAGGATTTTGTACAGTGGTATAATCTACCTGCCATTAAAATCTATGTTATCTAAATAAAAGGAAAAGAAAGTACAATGCAAATGTTTAATACACTAAATAGTATATTTACTCAGCTTTGTTTTAAAACAATTAGCAAATAAATTCTGCATGATTTATACACATGAACATCACATTATATTAAAAAAAATTACAGATCATGCTGTTTTCACAACATTATGGTTACTTAACACATAAAATCTAGTTAAAAGCTATAAAAAAATGTATGTGTTGTATAATTCCTATGCAATTTGGCTAGAGGATGCTGAGATGCCTAATAATATATCATTAATTATGCAATTATTGTTACATTTTTGTTGTTAATAAATTTTGTTGTGTTACTTGCAGGAACATCTGTGCACCATTAACCACAATGAATCATCATATGCATCAGTACATAATACTTCAACCAGATTTTTTACACATTGCATCAAAACAGTATCAATGAAATCAAAATATGCAATTCTCAGAATTTAAGTACAATAGTGGACTGGCAATCCTTTATTACGCTAATTGTATCATAAAAAATTTCATGTTTAAAGCATTTTTTTTTTAATTTTCTGCCAAAATACCTCTATACAAACTATACAAAATTGCTATCAATATGATTTGTATGCTTATAGTAATTTTCACTATCGTTCTATATTTAAATAACATAGATGCCAAATCTAATTGCGTCTTTCTATACTTTAATAGCATGTACATTAAATCTAATTGCTTCGAAATTATTTTTCCATGCATATCGTTGCCACTTTGACACATAACAATAATTCATTTTATGCTTATCTACAAGTCATTAACATTTAGAAAGCAATTAAAGTTAAAATTTTTCACTTTACACTAAAACTAAAAACTTTCACTGATAAAGCAGTTGTTTTTCTACAATTATGTTTTCAAACAGTGAAAAACACAGGAAGTTACATGTAATGCATTACAGCATAGGAAGTTCCAAAAAATCAGGAAATGATGGTTGCTCAAAGTAGCTGCATTTCCTTTTTCTTTTAGTAATTTTTAATTATTATATTTTTCAATAGAGGGACTGAGTATTACTTTATTGGTTTAGTTTTGATCAAAATTTCAACTTGATTATAACCATGAACAGATTTTAATTTCACTTTTGCTGTTATGCAAGTATGTGCGTTATTTACATTATATAACAATCTAATTAACATAAGACAAGAATTGATTTTGTGCTTCAGAAAGATTTATTTTAAGCATATAACTGTTTTTAGAATACAGAAAGGTGCTAATCGAATTGAAAAGAAGACTTGCAGGCCTACTATAAATCAAAATCTGAATTTTATCTTACATGTATGTAGATAATTTTTCACACTTTTTAAAAAGTGTTAATTTAAAGATTGCTGCACTGTTTTTGATGTAAAGAGTAGTATGCAAAACAATTAGTACATATTAATCATATAAAAATTTCAGGAAGAAATGCCCCAATGACCCACAGTTTCAACTCTGTTGAATTCTCTAGCTAACTGTAATATCGGTATAACAAGCATACAGAAAATTGTACATTTCTTCAAAAGTAAGTTATAAAGTACTTTATGTAAATGTAAAATGTAAATGTAAACATACATAGTATAGCAATATACTTACAAATTTTTGTTATTTTTAAATTTTGCATTTTTGCTTGTTTTGTAAAGATTGTAAGGTATTAATTTAGAAGTCAAACAACAAAAATCAGAGTTATATTTTCAAATTTTTACAGCTCACAGTTTTTGTTGTTTGAATTCTAAATTAACATTTGTTCGGCATGTTATTGTATCTTAATTGTAAGGTACATTTTAATTTTACGACAGGTTTTTTAATTTAGTGAACCTTTCCTGTCTCATATCGCTTCAACTTACAACTCCCTACCAGAATGAGTTCTTAGAATCACGTTGAATGCAAATGACAAAGAGAACAGTATTTAAGTCAAGTTCAATTGACCTTGAGAGAGAGTTAGCATTCCTGAATAGTGCGAATTTGCCTTTGTCTCTCTAAACTGTTACATTCGGCTGTATTACATGCCTTTTGATAGTTTGCCAGCTAGTTTAAGATTATGGGCCAACTACTTTAGAACTGTGTTAGCTTCACCTAAATCTCTTAGTCGTTAGTTCTTACCTTTAAGCCCAAGTGGAAGCTTTGCTATACGCCTGAACAAAGGGGCCGAATGTTAATCTTGTTTTGAGTGAATAAAGGGCCATTAACCTTCTTGCATTTATGTTTTCCGTTCTTGGAACTAATAAATTATTTGCTTACCAGTTCACTAGGTTCCTCAATGCTTAATTTGACAGAATAAAAGTGAGGAACTCTATAAGATGCCAAAAACTGTTCCATCATGGCTTTTATTGCCAAATCTATTTTTGGCATGTGAAGTTATGGCATGTTTTATGGGACATATAATAATAATATTCAAGATCTTTATTTTGATACACTTCAACAATTCAGTCTTAAAACTGTCTTCAACTGATTTTGAATATTCTTTAGGAATTTCTATATCCTTATCCACTCTTTCTCTCGAAATTTCAAAATACTTCTTCGCAATTTGAAAACTATTATTAAATTTATTAGGGTTAAAAGTGATTTAGTTTGATATTTATTTTCATTAAAGGATTTTCAAATCGATCACCTATTTGTTCACAGATAATTCTATGCTTTTTTCTGAAATGGCAATTGCGTCCAATTCCCAAAATGCTTTTTCATGATCCATTATCTCATTCTTCATAATAGCAATATCTCCTTAACATTCTCTTTTCTAACTTCTGAGCTTGAAATTACCCGCCCAGAGACAGTTCTTTTATGGGGTTCAAATGCTTATTTAGTTGTGATTTTTTTTCATCTAAGATAAAGTTCCAAGATAAATTGGATCCTATTTGAATTCCAGCTGTAATTCATCTCTAGCCATAAACTCAGATACTTGTTCATCTGGTAGGGAAATTTTGGTGCCATTAATCCTTACGACAGTAAGAGCTTTAATTTTAATTGAATACTCCATTCCTAGTACCGATTTCAGACTCTAAAACTGGAAATTGTTTTCTCTGTTACTTGTTGCGTTCTAAAGAAATAAGTAGAAAGTATTTGTGACAAATGGTTTCAATTCGAGAGTATTAGTTAAATGTACAGGACAAAAATAATGCTGGCTTCTATCGTCTAATGAAAACCTGGCTACTTTAGAATTTAATTCGGAATTTGCAAATATTGTATATGTTTGTAAATAAACCTTTTTTGAACAAGTTATGCCTGCATTACACTGTGAAACTGAAATGACAGTTTCTGAATCAGAATTATTTAAGAATTGAATGTCCTTAGCATTAAAATTTAAATTCTGCAATTCTTTAAGTTTATCCACAGTCTTATTTGATTGATTAATTCTTGCAGTATTATTATTTTGGTTACTACCCAGGAAAATGGAACTATTATGATTTTAGCTTTTACATTTGAAACAAGAAAGTTTGTTAGAACAATAGTTTTTGATAATGTGATACATTTTGAAACAATGTTTAGCAGTCTTTAAAATTTCTGAAGTGACATTTTACATTTAATGAAATCATCTGGTGTCTGTATGCAAAAAATGCATACAGACATTCTTTACACATCTTTCCCATGAAAATCTGTCGGTTTTGAAGCTTTGCACACTTAGATTACCAGTTTTTTCTGATGAGGTTTAAAATATTATTTCATATTTATTTGGATGCTTGTTCTGTATCAAAAATAAGGTTTTCAACTTCCATTTTTAAAATATTGACAATTTTCGAAATCTTCCAATCTTTGTACGATACACTTTTTATTGATTTGTAAAACAATATCTTTAATCAGTATGGACACAACAGAGATTTAAGTTTCTAAATTTATCCTTAATGCTTCTAAATTGCTAACTTCCAATTCACAAGTATCTAATAAATCTCTAATCAAAGAGACATCTGTTGATTTCCTAACAGGTGTTAGATTATTTAAATAAAAATTAACAACTACAGTCTTTTTGCCAAATCTTTCTTTTAAAGTTTCAACTGGTGCTTCAGAAAAGTTTGCAAGTGCAATTCCTTTAACAGCATTTGTGGCTACTCCAGTTAAATAAGACTTTATAGAATTAAATTTATCTATGTTAAATAAATCTCTAATTTTTAACAAGCTAGTAGGTTGCTGCTGTATTTTTTATATACCTGGTTTGGACTTGCTAACAGCAGTTTTGAACTTACATATGCAATTAATTAATTTTTCATGATGCTCATCACATTTAATAATTTCAGTTTTGATTTTTTCACATTAGTAATTTTACTTTTTGAATATCTCTCTTACCTGTGTCAATTTTGAAATTTATCTGTTATGAAGGTTCTTTCAACTCTTCTTCGATTACATTTTCTAAGGTTTTAGAAATTAATCTTCTTGTAAGAGATCTTACAAGAACACTTTGTTTAACATATTGAAATTAACTTGATATCTTTGTTTAACTAAGTTCCTTTTTGAATTTAAAGTCCATTAAGAAGAGAAGTAATTTGCAATATCCTATTTTTGAACAGTAAAGCTTACTTTGTTGCAAATTAAGATTTAATTGTACTTGTTTATTCCAAACACTGCAACCTATCCACTTGATAAAAGATAACTTTTATTCCACACACCAATATGCAGGAAACATTGCTGAAGACATTATGCTACATTCATTGAAATGCAAATAGTTTACATAAGCTTGACAGTAGCACAATGCTATTTTTTCTTCCCGTGTATATCACCCAAAATACATAACAGTTACATAAAATAAAAATCACTAAAAATATATAAAAATGAAAGACACACTACATATTTTGCAAAAATAATTATTTATTTCTAGGAGCCTAGCAGGACATTTCTAAGCCTTGGAGGGCATTAGGGGCTAGAATTACTTCCCTAATCAAAGCAATATTGTAAGCTAACAAGATTATCAATAAAACAGAAGAGATTACAAATTAAAAATTTGAGGATTTTCTCAAAAATAAACATTTTTAAAAATCTTACTTTGCCTTTTTCTTTGGGACTAAATGAAAATTACTTTCAGCAAGCACGTCTAGATTATTTATGTGCAACCTCAAATGCACATTTTATTTGCCCCCAAATATTAGTAAAATAATTAAAAACCTAAGCCACTAAACAATTAAATTATATAAAACACTAACTTTAATAAAAAAAATGTGTGTGTGTGTGTGCGTGTGTTAAGACTTTTCATTCTACTCAGATGTGTAACTTTTTAAATTAATAAAGATTTTAAATAACATAAAACTTACATCTTTAAATGTTGTACCACCTCCACAAGAAAGTTTCAACTGCTTCAATATTTCATTGCGCTGCTCCATCAATAATGTCCTTTCATATGTATATGCAGATATATCACTATCCATCTATAATAATGCATACAACATATTGATCAATATAGCAATGCAAATCAAGATATAAAAATACATTATTGTTCGTGAAAATTTCAAAACCACGAAGGAATTATGAAAATTGAACCAAACTTACAAGAAATGTAAAGTGAGGTTGGATATGCAAATGATTAGAAGTGATTGCGAGTATGTGGAATGAGAAACGGGCACATTTTCCATGAATATAAAGGACTGTAAAGTTGCATTGAAATCTGTTTATCAAAACAATGCCCGCATATTTTATTCCAAAGCCTGTTCCTGTTCACTTGTTAGTGTAGCTTTATATTTTGGAGAAAAATATATCCTAACAAATGTGCTGATGACAATGCTTATTAATATTGTGTTTTAAATAATTTTGTGTGGTTTATCAAGATTTAATACGGTGTTTTGACAATCCTTCCAAACTTTAACAGCTTTAATGCTGTACTTAGCCTTTTGGATTTTATGCAAAGTGAACTGAAACTGGCTTCAAATAAATAAGAGATCTTGTAGATTTTGCTTGACTGCATATGAAGAACTTTTAAATGAATATTTTTATATATTGCATCTTGATTTTCATCTACAGTTTTGTGTGAAAACTGGACAGTTCTTAAAATAGTTTTCAGTGGAGCTGCATATTGATTCATAATATACTTCAGATAGTATGTAGAGACATTAGGTTATCTTGGAAGCAGGATAGATGAAAAAATAAGCAATGCCTTCACCGGAACTCGAACCACAGGCCTCTTGAATATACGTTGAGCGTGCTGACCACTACACTACAAAGGCGGGAGAAATACCTTATTAAGTATATTTAAACCAGTTCCTTTATATTCATTAAATGCTGGTCATTTCTAAAGTAGTCGATGCACTGAATAACATGCTCACTAATATTTGATATATTTAAATTGCTGTGCAATATATTAAGTATATGTGCTGAACAACAAAATCTTACATTATGCCTGTCTTATATATGATATAGTCTTATATACGATATAAGACTAGTCTCAAATATGGTGATGACTTAGGGCACTTATCACCGTATTTGAGACTAGACAGGCATGGAAGGGACACTTGTACTAGCATGGGTAGCTTAAATTGTTCATTTTACTTTTTTAAAATGTTTTTAAGTTTTTCTAATCAGCAATTAAAATCTCTTTTAAAAACTTTCTAGATTAACTTAATCATCATTTAAATAAATTAATAAATAAGAGGATACATGATTTTAACCAATGATTTTTTTAATCCATTGATTTATTTAAATCATTGATTTTAGTGAGGACTAAAAATTAGATTGACATTCAAATCTAAATATTACAAATTAATAGAGCAAATAATATTTAGTTTTACTTCATTGTTAAATATTACAAAATAATAGAGCAAATAATAACAAGTTTTACTTTGTTGTTAAAATTTAAAATCAAAATGCCATGATTATGCTTAATAATTAAAATCAGAATCAAACTGATTACAGCAAAACTCGAATCAGCTGGATCACTTTCTGTTTTTTATGGGCCAAGTATAATTAGCCTATAATTAAATCATTTAATATTTTTAATACTGTAAGTTATATATGTAATATAAAAAATAAATATTTCTTTTATTTTTATTGCTTTAAAATTAATAAAAAGCAAGACTTATTTCAATACAATTAAAATATTTTTGTGTCATAAAAATAAAATTAATAATGATATATTTAAAAAAAGTGGGTACCTGTTTGGCTTAGCACTAAGGCATAAAAAATGAGCTATAGGCCTATCCACAGAACACGACTATTTCCAATTTATGCTCATAAGCTAAATATTTGCTGAGCATTCCAAGCCAATATGTATTATACATATTCAACTAAATTAATAATATTACTGATGGAGACTAGTTTATGAATTTCTGATTTATTAATAATTTTTTTCCATGCATAAAAAGCAAACAAAATTAATGGGGGTAATGACGGTAAAGAACATCATTAAGAAAATTATTCAACAATTTTTTGACAATACTTTCTGTATTCATACATAAAAAACTCAGAGACTGACACTAGGGAAAAGTAAGGATATTAAATAAAGTTAGAAGAAAATGAAACAGAAATCATGCACTAAAATTAGGCTAAACAAAATCTTTTAAATAAAATAAAATGCAAATGTACAGAAAAACACAAGCTGTTTTGTTAAAATAAGCTAAGTGATATATTTTTAGTGAAGCACAAAATATATACCAGTAGCATATCTGCAATAGAAATGAGGCAAGCCCAAGGTCAAGAAGTAGACCTAAAAGAGTTTGAAAAATAAAATAAACAGAAAGAGTCAGGACACATAGGTTGAGAAAAACATATACAGTATAGATATATTTAGAACAAACACATAAACATCTAAATTTCAGGATTCATTTTAGAGTAAAAAATAAAATTGTACAGTTGGATTATGAAATATTGAAAGTTTTTTAACAAGATAAATATTTTGTTTCAAAAGTAAACATGAAACCAACCATCTCCACAACTTCTACATCAGCTTCTATTCTTAAATGATATAAAAACTTCGACAAATCTTTTTTCATTTGTATGCTATTGTCTTCAAGCTCTACAAAATACAATCAAGGAATAACTACAAAAAAGTTTAATAAAAATCTGATACTTTTATTGTGAATTAAAATTACAGATTTAGACTGTAATGCTTTAGGTTATGAATTTAAAGAAAGATTATTTTTATTTATATTTAAGGAATGACAACTTATGCTAAAATAATTAAGTTTGAAAGCAAAAAGGCTATGTTAAAAATTATGTTTTGAATAGCACACACAAAAAGATCTAAAATTTAAAAATAATAAAATCAACATATAAAGTTCCAAGAAATCTATAACTATATTTATAGTATGATATACTTATCAAATTTATGTTATAGTTAAATTAATATTTAACTTATGAATCTTCTAAGATTGTCCAACATCTATTTATGTTGTTGTCTTATCAACCCACAGACAATTTTAACAAAATTTCCTTCATTTCTAGACAACAGGCATATACTTAACACTACTTTAAAACCAAATAGTTTTTATTTGAATTGTTATTAATTGTCTGATTCATTAGGGAGTGTACTCTAAATTATTGTTATTATCATTTCACAGCTGCCAACCTTGAGATCCTAAAAATCAGGAGATTTTTTAGAGAAAAATGGGAGAAACTGGGAGGTTGTCATGCTGTGCAATAACTTCATTTCAAAGGAATTTCAAATTGATTTTAATTCGCTTTATAATGCATGGCTCAGATTACTGAACTATCTGAAATTCAGTTCTGATGTAAAATACCTTAGCATTTAACTGGATATTCTAAATTTTAAGTTCTTTAGCTAATTTCATTTAATTTCCTTATACTTTTATACTGAGAAAATTCCGGGTAGTAAAAGGAAAGCTTTTATTTATCAATGTACTTTTAATTTAATTAAAATAAAATTAATTGCTGGGAACACTTTCTTGGTAATCTACCAATAGACCAGAAGAGCTTATGAACAACTGGGACAGATGGCAGCTATGTTACATATAATTAAATATTTTATACATAAATAGTATTTACTTACACTTTAATTTAAATTAACTAAATTTAGCTCTGGAGAAACTACCTTATGATAGATATTCTAAATATTTAAAATTCTAAATGTAGCTAATAAAATTGATATTTCAGTTAATAAATTTAATAATAAAACTAACATCTCACTAGCACCTGGAAATTCAAAGAATAAAATTTAGAAATAAAGCATTTTTAAAATACTTAATTCTTATATAATAAACGATGACATATTTAAGGAAAAGTCAACAATTCATTATTTATCGATATTGAGATTATTATGTTTCTTATAAAAGTACCAAAAAATTTGCAAAGGATACGGGCAACAGTAAATATTCTCAGCTTGCAATTTTTCCATGTCTTGTGCTGTTTGAGTAAAAATGGTAGTAACATTAATAAACCACCATCATCTAGCCTTATGTTAAAGAGCCATACACATTAAATTACAGATTTAAATTATTAAGAAATGCATTTGTTGCTTTTAAATTTATCAGTAAATGGACTGATTAAATTTCAAAGGTAAATTAAAAGATCTTATATTTTATTGAAGAAAACTAGAAAAAGAAACAACTACGGGTAAAGGGTGTGAAAGAAAAATTAAAGGCTTTTGCTTTATGCTGCAACAACATATTATTTTTAAATTACTCAGTTGGTTTATCAATAACAGACTTAGAAATTTGAAAGTAAATTAAAGATCTTATTCTTTTCCAAATGGCAACACTCTCAAAATCCACTATGCACAAAAGCAGGTAAACAAAATAAACAAAAAGCCTTACATTTTGAACAGTTGTATACTTGCCAAGGATTGTTTTCACAGCTTGATTTATAGAAGGGAAAATGGAGCACTTGTCCCAGACCTTCAAGTTTAATGAGGCTTCCAAATTCTTATGTCAAAATTTTCTTACTTTTTCAATCCTAGATTATGTAAAATAAGAAGCAGAGAGTGAAAGGATTTAAGAATTCCCAAGATTCTCTCTCTTTTTTCCTGTAATACTCTAGTTTAGTCTATCCTCATTTCCTGCCCAACTACTAGTTCTAGGCAGTAAGGCTTTGTATGCTTTACCTCACTCAATCAACCTAATCTAAACTTTCAGAAAAAATAAAATTTTTATACAAAATATACAACTAATGTCCAAAATTATAGTTACAAACACATTTCTTTTGTGATAATTCAAAATAGCTGTTACTAACAGTTTAAAATTTCATACCATATATAATTTGGGAAAAGATAAATGCAATGTGAGTATCTGAAGGTTGTTTAAAGATTAAAAAGGAAATTTTTTTTTTTTTTTAAATGAGAAAGTGAACAGTTTCTGAATCAGTGAAATTTATCTATAGAACTGCGTTTCTTGCAAGAAAAACCACAAGACTGATTGATTTCAGTTAAAATGAATTCGTACAACCCTTAAGATGATGGACTCAAATAAAGAGCAAATGGCAAGCTTGAAGCAGAGGAATCTCACGTGGAGGACAATAAATGGCCACAAGTCCCTAAACTGTCATATCCAGTTTATGGTAACAATTCTAAAGTATAAGTATCCTCCCCTGGTGACCCTGACTATGGTTGCCCATGAGCTGAAACACCTGTGAAGGACTAGCACACATTATTAAACGCATGATGTCAAAGAAAGATGATGGCTAAAGAACTCTTTCAAAACTTTGTTAGTATGTCTAGAACCACAATTTGCAGGTGCATAGCAGAGAAGGACCTTTATGCCCAGCAACTAGCTGTATGTGTTTCCCTTAACAGTTTCTAAGACACAGCCCATCTTTTATCTCCATAAATCCCATCTTTTATCTCATGTACACCATTCCTAGACATGGCAAGATTGGTGATGAAAGATCACGCAGAGGATCTGATGAATCGAGATTTAGTAAAAGAGTAATTTTATTGACTAAAATTCAGTCATAGAGTGACAACCATTTATTTCCAGACAGCCTGGGGGCCTGCTATCCTCCCATCAATATAAGGAAAACCGAGCAGTTTGGTGGGAGTGGAATGACAGTGTGAGGAAGCACCTGCCAGATGACTGCACACTACTGCATGTCTTTGGTATAGGCACTATAACTACAGTTTAAGCTTCATAGGAATGAGGCTCCTGAACCTTATAAGAAGCTGTTGGGGACAATTTTATTTTTATTGATAAAAATGTAAGGCCATATAAAGTTCAAATGAATGATGATTTCCTGGAGAAAGAGGGTAATAACTGTATGATGCAGCCAACAAACTTACTGGATCTAAACCCTATACAGCACATTTGGAAGCCTTATGGAAGAGCCACTGTCTAACATTAGTATTCTTCCAGGACTCTCAAGACATAAAAATCTTCTATTAAAAAAGTGGGATTTGTTGCCACAACCTATGATCAATAATTTCATTTGCAGTATAACAGCCTCTTGAGGGGCTGTTATTATGTGGGATAGTCCCACTCCTTATAAGCCAGAACATTCTGGAAGTATAAGAGGTTACGTTCTGACCCTTTTGAGTTTCAATTACATGTTGAAAAATAATTACCTTACGCTTGCTTTGTTATGTTACTGCTGATTCTCTAATTGTACTAGGCATCTATGTATAAAATTTAATTATAATAAAGCAATTACTTTTCAATATATCATATGTTTTGAGTTTGTAACCTTGATTTTGAACATCAGTGCACTTTATTCAGCCCATTATAAAATGAAATCATGAAGACAAAACAAATTTTGTTCTTTTTTCTTTCAGGCCTGAAAGTACAAAAAAATTAAATAGAAAATTATTGAATTGTTAGGCTCTTTCAGGAAATCTTTCATAGCAGAACTGAAATCAATGTAGATGAATGAATTATAAAATTATATATTATTCAGTATATAATGAAGACATAATAATGAATAAAATTATGAAGGTGGATTTCTTCAAGATTTTTGCTCTAGGTCACCACTTTTGAAAAATCACTTCGATTGCTTTTGTGTTCTTTCTGTTCTTTACTTCACCAATTTTCCAAACATGAGAGTAACTACGGATTTATTTTGCAAGAACAGGATTTTACATGGTAGTAAAACAATGTATCTATCCTAAGTGTAAAAGCAATTTCATTTGAAGTGTAAAAGCCTTAAGTAAATAAAAGTAGCAAAAGTAAGTAAAATTTGAAGTGTAAAAGTTTTTTTATTCTTAATTATGCTTAACGACATGATTAAGAAGAAAAAACTTATAATCATATTACAAAATACAAATTAAGAGATATAGCTAATATGCTTTATTCATGCATTTTCACTCTTTTCAACAAATACTCACATTTTGAAACTCAACATGATTAAGAATAAAAACTGATCATTATGATATTATAAAATACAAATTAGAGATGTAGTTAATATGCTTTAATAATATTCAAGAATCTTCATTCTTTTCAACAAATACTCACATTTTTTAAACTCATATATTCAGACTGAGCTGCAATTTTCAATAGCTAACAGCTTACAATTATTTCAATTTAACTGCATGCATTTCCAACAACAATATCTACCATGGTGTTTATGTATGCACTAATGTACACTATTCGAATCACGAATGTCGCTGCCTACGCATCTAACTATCTAACGACGTATCCAAATGCCACATCTAAATTTCTGCAAGCGGTGGTTCAGCTATAATTCTATGATCAAATACTCAATCTAGTTTTAAAAGGATTTATTAAATACTAAAATTAATCTAATCTAGAATCTAGAATCGAATCTAATGTTACATCTCAGGAGCAGCGTTCTAGCTGCGTCATAACAAATCGAAAGTCAAGTTCTCGCTGTTGCCATTCTGAGGCAGAGAAAAGTTTGTTTCTAATCAAACCGGAACATCGGCATAGTGAAAGTTTCTAGTCAAACCGGAACATCCTGGCCCCTGTTGGACGATTGTCCAACATCATTTGGAAATGGGAGTGGACTGATATTGGAGACGTCAGAACTTTAGATGGAATCTTTCGTCGAGCCGTCTCCAATATCAGTCCACTCACATTTCCAAATGATGTTGGACAATCGTCCAATGGGGGCCGGGATGTTCCGGTTTGACTAGAAACTTTCACTATGCCGATGTTCCGGTCTGATTAGAAACAAACTTTTCTCTGCCTCAGAATGGCAACAGTGAGAACTTGACTTTCTGAGGCAGAGAAAAGTTTGTTTAGCTCTTCATGATCCTTGAAATCTCTTACTGATTCTGCAAGTTTAGGCCACGAATCGATGCTCTGTAATAGCCACTTAGGTCCATGCCACCACATGTCACTATTTCGTAGTTCAGACAACGTTATTCCTTTTGTGGAATTTGTCTTTGTTCCTCTGGTCAGCATATCAGCCGGATTTTCATCCCCAGGGCAATAATTCCAGGACTCAGGTGATGTTTTCTCTCGTATTTCCATTACTCGATGTTGGATGAATGGCTTCCATTTATTTAAATCGCCCTTTATCCAATGTAACATAACAGAAGAGTCTGACCAAAAATATACATTCATCTGGAGTCTTTTCTCTAACTGTTCTTTCACATCTGAGGCTAATCTTGCTCCGATGAGCGCCCCTATCAGCTCTAATCTTGGAAGGGACAGCTTCCTCAGTGGAGCTACTCTGGCTTTGGAAATGACAAAACTACTTCCTATTTCACTGTCCGTTGTGACGTATCGCAGATATATCACAGCTCCATATCCCTTCTGACTTGCGTCGGTAAAGCAATGCATTTAAATATCTCTCAATTCAGACTTGTTAGTCTTTCGGAAGTAATGTCGCTGAATGTTTACATCCTGAATCGCTGACAGTTCATTAATCCGTTTTTTCATTCTGTTTTCAAAGTCCAATGGTAACGGATCATCCCAAATTGCCAAATTTCCTGCATTAGTATTTTTGCCCTAATAGTGAATGGACTTATAAATCCAATGGGATAGTAAAGCTTTCCAATGATTTTAAGAACTTCTCTTTTTGTCATTAACTTTGTTTTCCCTTGAGAGTTAGATTTTGTGATTCTATCTTCAGAAGGTCTTCCTTGTAATTCCATTTATATTCCAATACCTTCTGTTCCAGAACTTTCTGGATTTCACCATTTTCGTATTCATCTAAAACTTCCTGCAGATTCCTACAATTTGTTTTCCATTTTCGCATGTTGAAACCAGCAGCCTTCAATATATATCTAATATCTTCATATATGAGTTTAGCTTCATTTTCGTCTTCATCCTCGCCTATTAAATCGTCTACGTATAAACATTCGTTCAATAGTTTAACTGCTTTCTGATTTGTTTCTTTAAAGGTATTTATGTGATGTTTGATAGTAGCGGCAAGCAAAAATGGGCTGGATGTAGCTCCAAACAAAACATGAGTCATTCTAAGTATTTTTGTGTTAGGTTTCCCATCCTTATCTGTAAGGTTATTTGCCCACAAAAATCTTACAGCATCCCTATCTTCAGGTGACAGAGAAATCTGGAGAAAGGCTTGTTCAATGTCAGCAGTCAATGCTATGCTATGTGTACGAAATTGTATTAATATCTCTAACAATGGTGGATTTAAATTAGGACCAGAATAGAGACAATCGTTTAAAGAGTATTCATTTTTCGAATGGCTGGATGCATCAAATACAATTCTCACAGGTTTGTCAGGTCGAATAACTGGCTGGTGAGGCATGTAATAAATTCTTTCTGTAGAACTTGGATCAATTTCCTCAGCTATACCCATTTTTAAATGTTGCTCTATAACTGAGTGATACTGCTGATGAAGCAGTGGATCATTTCTTAACCTTTTAACCAGTTTATTAAAGCGAACTTCTGCATTTACGTAATTCGTTTTTAATTCAGACGAATGTTCATTCCAAGGGAGGTTAACCTCATATCGCGTTTCTTTAAATTTGATAGTTCTGTTAAAATTCTCTAAAATGTCATTATCTATTTTACTAATTTCCTTCCCTTGTTCTCCCAATGTTTCCAATTCCCAAAACTGCTTTAACTGTGTTGAGACCAATTTGTCATCAACAATAATGTCCATGTTTAACAATTCACTGTTAGAATCAGTCCGGCCTTGAAGGCACTATCCAAATATTGTTTCGGAAGCTGTAAGTTTATTTTTAAAAACTACCAGTTATTACTTCATGATAGTCTACCAGTCATTAAGTCTACCAGTTATTACTTCATGATAGTAATCTGCTCCGATCAAAACAGCAATATTTTTGTCACTGAATTCACAAGAATCAGCTAATTGTAATCCTATTAACTCTTTGTTAATTATGGAAACTGGGATATCAGTAAAAGCTAAATTAGTTGCACATATTTGGTTAGTTTCTAAAGCTTCAATTTCTATATTTAGGGATGGTTTACTTCTGCTTTCTAGTTTAACTTTAACAACATTGTAAGTTTGTTCTGTTGCCTGGTTAACCCCAAAGGCAAATACGGACAAAGTCTCCTTTCGAATAACAGGTAATTTATACTTCTCTGAAATGTCCCGAATTATAAAACTTCTCATCGATCCATTGTCTAATAGAATACAAACTGGTTCTAAATTATCCTTCTCAGAACGTTTGTAGCAATGCACTGCGGAAAGTTTCGGTTTTTAATTGACTAATCTGAACATTTTCTTTACTGGATGGAATTGTCGACACAACCTGGTTTTTCTCCGCTTTGGTTTCGAGTTGGAAACAAATAGACCTATTGTGTTTTTTATTACATATTTCGCACATTTTTCTTTCCTTACACTGCTTAATTTTATGCTGAGATTTTAGGCACAAAAAACATCGTGCTTGAGATTTTAAAATATTTCTTTTCTCCTCCACGGTTTTAATTTCACAGCGCTTCGAATCGTGTAGTTCGTCACAATACATGAATTTACTGCTAGAGACTGGAGCAACATATTCATACGTTTTAGGCGAACTTCTTTCAAGCTGTTTACTGCGCTTGTTGTTTACATTATCGTGAGCGGAGTGGAGACGACTGTTTAATTTATGCCTCCAGTTATGAATCATTTCCGCTCGATGTTTTGTTTTTGTTTCTCTACTCTCATTTAACTAGCTCTTTCGCGGCTTTCTATTTCTTTACGAATAAATTCCATTAATTCGTTAACGTTCTATGTTTGGTCACTGTTTTTACTGCGACCATATTCTAATGTTATCTCTGATGGAATTAATTTTAACAATATTGGGCAAAGTAAACTACCTGTTACGATACGTTTTAAGTTTAACTACCTGTTACATTACGATTAAGTTTCTGATATGACGTTCATTGACTTTAAGCATCGAATTTGAGTTTCACACTGATCATATAAATTCCTAAGATTTTCTATATCCCTTACATTTCTAACAGTGGAAAGATTTTACAGTTTATTCATGTGAGCATTTATTACCAAATCTTTTCTCTCAAACCTGCTAGTTAACAATTCTATAGCTGAATCGTAGTTCTCATTTGTAAGTGAGGGTCCGGAAATTGCATTATAAGCTACCCCACCTAGTAATGACTTTAAGTAACTGAACTTATTTACTTTTGATAATGAGTCATTGTTATGGATAGCTGCCACGAATTGACTCCAAAATTCCTGCCAATTGCTAGAACCACCAAAAAATTTAGCGATAGTCAATTTTGGAAGGCGAATAATTTTATTATTTTCAAGTTTGGAATCTATAGCGGTTTCATTAGGAATGTTCATACTTTCCTTATCCGAATTTTCGAGTTTGTGTAATTCCCTCAATTTTTTTCTTGCTCTAAATTGCCACAGTTGGATTTTTTCTCTTTCATATTCTAGAGCGGATGAAACTTCAAGTTCAAATTCATCCTCTGGGACCTTCAAATCCTGTTCTATTTGAGTGTTTAAATCACTCAGAGTTTTTGCCTTTTCGTTTAATATGTCTAAAGTTTCTTCTATTACATTTATACTAACATCATCTTTGCTTAATTCTGTCTCAATTTTCTTTAGTACCTTGGACACTGCTGTCCTTAATACTTTGCGTTTCGATTTAAGCTCAGCTTTAGGATCTTCCATAATTACTTTAAAATAGAAAACTTATCCTACCTTTTGCAGGCTTCACACACTTCACACAGTGCAATCCATACTTATGAATCCATATTTTCGAATATTAGCCGACTTCCCGGCCGATGCACCAAAAAATGTTTATGTACGCACTAATGTACACTATTCAAATCATGAATGTCGCTGCCTATGCATCTAACTATCTAACGACATATCCAAATGCCACATCTAAATTTCTGCAAGCGGTGGTTCAGCTTTAATTCTATGATCAAATACTCAATCTAGTTTTAAAAGGATTTATTAAATACTAAAATTAATCTAATCTAGAATCTAGAATCGAATCTAATGTTACATCTCAGGAGCAGCGTTCTAGCTGCATCATAACAAATCGAAAGTCAAGTTCTCACTGTTGCCATTCTGAGGCAGAGAAAAGTTTGTTTCTAATCAAACCGGAACATCGGCATAGTAAAAGTTTCTAGTCAAACCGGAACTCATGGTATACTGAGAACAACTGCCATCTGGTTTATGTTTTAGTAACAGTATTTTACATTTAGCTATATAATTCTTCTATTTTCACTAATTATCCAAAACTAAAAGCACGTAAAAAATCTCCGCAGAAATTTGAACAGATTTTTAATACTACTAGATTTTAATTAAATATGTTTGCAAATGACTGAAATTAAATTAAGTCTTAGACTTTCATGATGGATTACAGTGGTGGTGCCAGCTATTGACATGGGTTTGAAACATTTCAGTTTCATTCAGAGAGCATCAAGCTACACACCTTTGAGTTTATAGATGAATACTTTAGTGAGTGGACTAAAAGCATGCTCTATCTGTGAGCACTAAATACACTGTGCCTTTATTAGGGATGAATCTGCAGGAGTCTCTTTAACTCATAGAAAGAAACTCCTGTAGATTCATCACTCATTTCAACTCATTGCTTTCCATGTCAAAGATACATGAATAATGTCATTTCATGAAAGAGTTCACTATTCATTCATTTTAACATGCTACATGCCTACTGATATGTGTATGCCATGGCATGCAATGTGCAAAAATGAATACAATTTTAAAAAACCAGTAAATCTCATAAGCTTATCGCTGTATTTTAACATCTACCATTATCAAATAGTAAATGCCCAAAATTATCAAGCAAAATAAGACTTACTGATATAAATTAGCAAAACCTAGTTTAAATCTGATTTCAGATTTTTATCTCTTACATATGTTGGAATATTACTTATAACAGTTGTTTATTTTTATTTGGTACATCAACATCAGTAATATTACCATAAAAATGGTTTCATGAGCTTTTTTCAGTAACTAAGAAACAATTTCTGTTTAACTAAAATAAATGTAATATTTTTTTAAGAGATCAGAAGATTCAAAAATTGTAGCATATATAAAGAATCTGTTCACTAGTAAGCAAAATGCTATTTTCTTTGTTTTAAATATAATGAAGTTTTTTCCCGGCAAGTCTAATAATTTTTAATACACTGTTGAGCTAGTTTTATTTTTTTATCATTAATGTATACATAATATCATTAAAATAATACATAATGATTACTTTCAAGAGAGCTGATAGATAAATTCTCAAATCTATGGCTATCTCTTTGTTAAGATTAAAAGTTAATATTTTTCAAGTAATTGGGCTTTTACAAATTACGGTTGGTAAAACCAGGAAATGGGATCAATTTCCAAGATTCTTCAGGTTCTAAACTTTTATGCTTCATTCAGATGAAGGTTTTGTAGTCATAATGCTCTGTGGTTTAAGGAATAGAAGTCATTAAGTCCTGCTTAGTTTAAACCACAACCAACCAGGAAAGGGGAAATTGCGCATGCGCGTAAACATAGCTGATTCAGCGAAACCATAAACTGATGCTTGCTTTGCTGTGCCAGCTCTTATACCACGTGGCATAAAGTTGAAAAGTTAGAACATTTAGGCAAAATACTTAAACCAGTTTTTTTGATGTAGCAAGAAAATTGGCTGCTTAGTGAACACTTATGATGTTAAAGCCACCATGTGAACGAAACTTTACAGTAATGTATGCCAACAAAATTACTGATCTGAAAGTCTGACAGGGAAATATTCAAATAATGGTTTAGGCACTGACAAATAACCAAATTAAAAATAAAATATAATTTACCTACATGGTTAGTAGTAGGTACACATGCAATACAGTTTTATTGCATATTTAATATATTAGCTGCTTTACATATCATAATCATAAATAACAAACTTGATTTTCCTCCAGTGCAAAAAATTATTAATCTTGTATTTACAACCTCTGCAATTTCAATATATTTATTACTATCAGCCATAGGAGCTCAGTAAAAGGATACGTACAATCCACCAAACGTCAATATTTCCGGACACTTTTTCATTGTTACTTGGAAAAAGATTAATACCTTTTGGAACCAAAAGAGCATTCTTGCTGGCTGACACACTACGGATAGTATCTAAATACAATAAGAAACAAGCAAATCTATTAACAAACTACTATTTTTCTTATCTCTGATTTTTTTACAATAATATATATGCTCAAAATACTAAATCACACATATAATAACCCTCCAAGCATTATGAATTTGGCCCTAAAACTTCAATATTGCTCAAAATATCAAGAATAAAAGGTATTTTCTCAATTACAGTTCCAAAATGACCCTCTCACATTGTGCTTTAATTCCCCTTCTTTTAATATGTATCCAACCAGAAATTGGATACATCATGAGCTGGCAGAAATTTTCATGTGTAATCTAGAATTTTACATCCATAATCCTTGGAGAGTTAAGATTAGTTTAAGATGTCCACGTTTATTTGAATATCAAAAGCTTAAAACACACACAAGATCAGACCTTGTTTCCATATTAAGTGCTAACTGTATAACTTTAGGCTGATTGCACGGGCTTGTCCCGGCGATGTATATTTCAAATGCTTGCTTTATCAGCTGTCAATGGTAGGTTATGTGCCTGTCATGGTCATTATGTGTGATGGGGAATTAGGGTTCAGTTTTGGAAACAGAACCCACCACATCCACGGAATGCAGCAGGCATGTAATTTACCCACTCCTAGAACACAGAAGCATAATATTTATGTTTTAGCTTGAAATGGAGTAGATTTAGGCTACTTGAGTATGATTTACAGTAGATCCATTTCAAAAATCTACTCCAAGTCTGTAAAACTCAAAAGAGACAACTGAGTTACAACTACTCCAAGTCAGTAAAAATTTTTCATTCCTAATGTGTCTATTTTTAACATCCGATGTTTAGTACTCATTACTACTAAAATTAAAATTTCAGATATTTAGTTATTTTAAAGAAATGGGTAACTAAACACATTACAGAAATCATTACAAAAGTAGGAGTAATAACCCACTACAACCCAAATTTAGCAGTCAAAGTTTAGATACTTTTGATTTTTTCAGTTTTATTGATGACAGTAGAGGAAGTTGCTTCTACCACAGTGCAAAAGAGTCCTGTTGTCAAAAATCTGTAGAAAAATCCTGTTTATGTGAAACTTGCATTACTTGAATTTGGATGTTGGAAGTTATTAGCATGCACACTCCCTACAAATGAAATGTCTGAAGTGACATTATTTGGGACAGCTCGGTTCATGTTGTAGTGCAGAGTTAATATCACATTTTGACAAAAGAGCATCTGAGCAAAGAAATTTGGATTTCTTTTAAACAGAAACAAATCTCTGTCATGCTCCAAACTAGACTTTTTAACCAATTCAGGTGTTCTCTCTTAATAAGATCAATATTTTCAGATAATCCAAGCTGTCAAATAGGCTAGTCTATAAGCAGTAGGATGAACATGCGTTCTGGTGGATGTTACTTTGAAGATGATTGGTTGATATATTTTCTTTTTACATTTTAAATAAAACAGCTTTACAAGCTTTTAAACAAAATTTTTAAACATACGTGTACTCTAGTGTCTCTAATATCAGCTTAACCTTTGCAATCATATGATACTACAGCTCTGCAATTGATATGGAAGTAAGTGAAAGCAGTTCCCAATACTGCTGAGCTGGTGTTTGGATCTTGAGTGCAGAGCATCACTCTCTGCAGCTAGTGTTTGTACATGAAGTAAAAATGAGCAATAAATATTTAAAAAATAAAATAAAATATAACACTGATCTGCAATTGATATGGAAGTAAGTGAAAGCAGTTCCCAATACTGCTGAGCTGGTGTTTGGATCTTGAGTGCAGAGCATCACTCTCTGCAGCTAGTGTTTGTACATGAAGTAAAAATGAGCAATAAATATTTAAAAAATAAAATAAAATATAACACTGATTCAAAATTTGACTCCAAATGCAGACTTTAAGAAAAGACAGACTGTAAGATTCTCAGATACTGTCAAGTAGGATAATGTTGACATAAGTCATATTGTCAACAGAGGTGGCAAAGGTTTTTTAGGCAAAAGAATGCACCCATATTCTCACACCCATGACACTTCATGATACTGATATGACCAAAAGAAACACACAGCACTGAAAAAAAAAAAAAAAAAAAAAAAAAAAAAAAAAAAAAAGATAATATTTCTACTCAAAATTTAAAATTAGCTCATGCAAACTGACTGAGTACTTCAGGTAATGCATGAAATGGTAACCGTGGACGAAAATCAAAACTTTTCAACAATATCAGTATACTTCTCAAAGCAATGCCTATCAAATCATTCTGTTGACTACAAACAAACACTTATTACAATTTTAAAAAATAAAGGGAAAAAGGGAAGGAGATAACTTACGAAGAAATACTCTCCATTGCTTCTCATCTGCACTCTGTCTCCAGCCATATGGCCAGCCAAGGATTACAGTATTATGCTTTAGACCTCCAATACCAGCTGTTTGAATCCTGAAAAGAAAAAAATCCAATCATAGATTTACACATGCTTAACTAAGTTAATGCATTTTTGAAACTTCATAGGCAGATCAAGAAATATGAACTGTAAAAAGATGGCAACAACAGGGTGACGAAGAATAATCTGAAAGAAGTTCAGAAGGAAATACATATTAACCTAAAAAATTTCAAATTAACTTTTGCATTAAGTATAAAACCATCAATGTTAAAAAGCTCTTTTTCCTCACTTATTATCATGCTTAATAAATAAACTGCAAATTGAGACTTACATATGGAGTATAAAACGTTTCATGTAATCATTCATCTGCTGAAAGTGACAAAAACAGATACATGCATACAATGAGCTGCTTATAATCAAATGATTTCAACAGCTTGAGTATGATGGGGATAGAGCAAGAAAGAAATAAAACTGCAATAAAAACACTCATTGTAAATTTATCTTTTTTAACAAGAAAAATTGACAAATAACACAGACTTTTGTGTTTTACATTAACGAAGGTTTGTTAATAAATGTTTAACAAGGTTAACAAATGTTTTACATTAACATGGACTTTTGTGTTTTACATATTAAATGGCTGCATGCTGTCAATGGCAGAAACTTGCTTTTATTCATGAGAAATTTATCATCATTATAAAAGCTCACAGTATGGTTAAGACAGAATTTGGTCTCAATGGATGGTCCTTGGATTAAGATACAATAAACGCGCTGGACAAGTATTAATTTAGAAGTTAAACAACAAAAATCACGGTTATATTTTCAAATTTTCACAGGACTAGTTTTAATGGTTTTACCGAACCATCAACCTCAGCTGCCAAAGTGCAAATGAACTAGATAAGATATAATGATTAGATAAGATAAGAATGGCTAGACAAGGGTTAAGCTACTGGCACTATGGTCCTTGGTTTTCTAGCACTGTGCTGCAAACTCTAGTCCATTATGGTGTGTGGAAGGTTATATACAGGGTCTCTGGAGTTTTGCTGCATTAAAATTTCTTACAACCAGGTAGCTAATCTATCTAGATATGTTGCCATACTAAACATTTCCAACACAGTTCAAAAATCAGACTATTAACTACTTCAATTTTTGATTTCAAAATTACTATTAACAGCAAACATTAAAAAAAAAAAAAAAAAAAAAAAAAGTTTACTTACAAATGACAAATGCCTTCAGTGAGATCTTTGGCTACTAAAACATCAGCAAAACCTTTTACTTTTTCTTCATCCATTGTTCTTTTTAAACTCTAAAATATATAATTTATAATTAACAAAATGAGCAAGAAATTTTATTTTTGGCAATCACTTTTTTGGGGAAATTAAATTATTCTTCATATTACAATATAAAAGTATGACATCCAGACTTATAGCAACTTCAGCAATTCCAGCTTTGGGATTTTTCCAGATATTAGATCATCAGTTTAAATAAAGTAAGATGACATGTAGAAATTATACAATTAAAGATTTGAAATAGTAACCATTAAGAAAATCAAAGTTTGGAAAAAAAGGGGGTGGGTGGGGAGCTCAACATTTACTTGTTTGTTTTATTTAACAATTGTTTTAGTAGCTTCATTTTTGCGCTAATATATATTTTTTTTAATTCTATAGACATAATGTCTTGCTCAATTACAAAGTTCCAATGTTCAAGTCCTGCAACTGACACATCCAGAATTACCAACTGAAATTTTGTCCACTGAATAACTAATTTCAACTACCAATTGAAATTTTTTTGTTCTCACAACCTCTCTGTCACTTTCTTCCCTATCAGTAGTGATATTTACTGGATTTAGAATCATACTACAGGTTTCATCATCCATTAGTTGACTGATGACTGCTGCATTGTCATGACAATGAAAAATTTTGTTACATGATCTTTGTTCTCCACAAATTCCATCTCTTGAAAAATTTCTTTTTTGTTTGCAATATTTGAAAAGTTTCAAATTCATGGCTATCATCATAAAGCTAAGCTAGAGTCTGCTATATACTAATGGCGATGTCTCATGAGACTGCCAACTATGACACAATATTCTGCTAAATGTTTTCTTGCTTCTATCGCACAATGATGAAGGTAAGCCTGAAATATATTAATTTACTTATTTATTATACTTAAGCCTATTTCCTACACATGCTTAAAGATTACCCGAATCTCAAATAAATAAATTCTTACATATGCTTAAAGCTCATTCAGGGCCAGTAGTAGATACTTTGAGTACCAGTGCAGTCTCTGCCTTTTCTAAATTCTGCAGCCAAGCACCTCCCTAAATTTTGTGTCTCAGTGCTTTTCTAAATTCTAAAAATGTTGGCTCCTCTAAAATTCTGACGCTCGGTGTAGCTGTACCAGCTTAAGCGCTGGTCCTGGGCTTATCTAAACAACAAATCAATTATTCTCAGTTCAAAAAGCACTAAATGGCCTATGAGTATCATTAACAAAATCTATTTTTTGCATGGAATGAAATTTCTGTTAGAAAGCTTGCCAACACTCTTAACATGCAGCACAATTAACTGAAGTATGTAACCATCGCCAAGTGTAATGCCAACATAAAATGTTATAATTGTTCTTTGGTATTCAGTTACTAATATATAAAAAAAAATTGATAAGGGCGTCATTACTTCCTTGTATAGCCTATTAGATTACACACAATTTTTGCTGCATTTCGTTTTAAACTTATTTCCTGGAATTTCATTAGAGATATACTTTTTATTCAATTAACTCATTTCTCACTTCATTGGAATACAAAAATACATAAAACACTAAATATAGTTAAGAGCAGATTAAAAAAATTATGATTAAAATTGCAATTTCTATGCAAAAGCAAGACATTCAGCCAGTGGGCAGGAAGACAGATTTTTTGGTGAACAAAACTAAAAGTTGACGTTTGGTACCACTTGGCAAAAAGACAATGAAATTGCAGAAACTGGCTTAATTCACTATTCTACTAAGAGTTTTAAATGCAAACAAATGGCGGATTCGTTAAACTTAGAAACCACTTAAACAACTTTTAAATTGTTGGTAATTCTACAACTGCATGCAGATTAACTAAGGGTATAAAAACCTTAACTGGAACATTAGAACAACATAATTCAATCACTTTTAAAGCAAAACATGCACAATTTACCATCATATTAGAATAAAAATAATGAGCTCACCATGCTGGGTAATAGGATGGGAATTTTTCATAAATCAAATTATATGTACATGTTTGATGAGGCCAATATAGCAATAAAATAGGGAAGTGCACAATTTATGTTATAGCAGTCCCATGCACAATATTTCAATGTTCTATGGCTACTCGTTTTTGACTTATGTGACATACATACATAAAAACATCATACACACACACACACACACAAAAAAAAAAAAAAAAAAAAAAAAAAAAAAAAAAAAAAAAACTTCTGAATGCATTTTAAATCCATTTTATAATTGTTTTAGAAAAGACAGTCCTTTATTCTGTCTGTACATACAGATCACATGCAAAAACATCATTCAAAGAATTTGAGAGTAGCTAAAATGGCTATTTTCGTTGGAATTTGATACCCAAATTTCTTATGATTACAATACACCTTTTTTTCTTGCAAGGAAGTGAAAATTGTTCAGACATTGCTGCATGAGTCATTTCTCAGGCTGCCATGTCTTGAGAGTCATGCTGTGATGAAAGCAAAAAATAATAAATAATGATTTGTTAGGTTGGCTTCAGGTATAAGTATAAATCCAACAATGTTTCAAAGCAGAACATTTTATTTAAGATATATGCCAAGCAAAAAGGAAGCTATGGAGCTAAATCAGTGATTATACAGATTTTATGCTAATATATGATAGGTGTCCGCTGATAACATCATGCACGAAAATGTCACGGAGAAAACAACGCAAGGCGAAAACGTCGTGCTACAAAACATCGTGGGAGAAAACATCGTAGTACAAAACATCGTTGTCGAAAATAAAGCGGTTAAAAAACTTCGTAGTTTAAAAACATCATCATCGAAAATATCGTGGTAAAAAATAAAGTATCTACAAATCATCGCATGATGATAACATTGCAGTCATGCTTTTTTCAGGTTTTAATAATTTTAAATGGATATTCCCATAATGATTTGGGAGCGCAAGATGTAAAGAAGGATAATTTTTACCTTCACATATTTTATTAACTAATAAATGTTTGCTGAAAAAGTAAGAAGAAAACTTAAGCATAGAAAATTAAATGCAACTTATAGATTATACTTCTCATGAAAAATTACCAGTAAAAACTTTATAAAAAATGATTTATTAATGGTCTTTGTTAGTTAACGATGTCGGTTTAAAATTCCATAAAGTGCTATAGTTGCATTAATTTTCTATGCTTAAGTTTCCTTCTTATTTCCTCAGCAAAAAATTTATTAGTTAAGAAAAAAAAAAATGAAAGTAAAAATGCCATGCTAAAGCCTGAATAAAGCATGTCTGCGATCTTATCGTCATACGATGATTTGTAGATACTTTATTTTTTACCATGATATTTTCGACGATGATGTTTTTTAACTGGAAAGGTTTTGAACCGCTTTATTTTCGACGATGATGATTTGTACCATGATGTTTTAGAACTGCGATGTCTTCACTTTGCGATGCTTTTTCCCACGCTGTTTTGTAGCACGACGTTTTCGCTTTGCATTGTTTCTCCGCAACGTTTTCGTCTGCGATGTTTTTGGCTGTAACCTATATGATAGTATCTTTACTACTGGGGTATTTTCTTTAGTGTTGAAGTGAAATTAAGAATCAAAACACTACACATCACATGTTTTATCACAAAAATAAAAATCAAATGCTCTTGCATAAAACACACAAAAAAGTTGCTGGTAGCCTGGATTTTAGATACTGGATGTTTGAATTTCAGATACTGTACTGCACATTTAGAGTGCCTAATAAATTTTCTATATCTTTTATGGGAACAATTTCTATCATTTTGTGAAATTCAGAGGCAAATATGATTTTTTTTAAGTTTCATTTACTTTATATTATTTTTAAACATACATAAATTCTATGAATTAATATATTTCATTTATTTGGAAATATGACTTATAAAACTAAATAATATGTAAAAGTTGTCAAGTATTTTGCAGTTGTTGAGTTACAAAAACTGGTATAAATGGTCATATATGCTAATACAAGAAACACATAGAAACAATAGAATACATGTTACTATAATACATAGAAAAGGACTAAATCAAAAATATTTTATCAAAAAGTTGCTAATTCTCACATTTTGGGGGGGGGAACTGATGACTTTTGATTGTTTTAAGACTTATAATTTCTCACCTAATTAACAATTAAATAAAATAATAAATGCACATTAATTGCATGGTAGTAATTACATAATTACTTTGCTTAACAATACTAGTTCACAAAATTGTAATCCTTTATAGTATAGTAGCAAATTTTAATGAAAATAAAATATGTGTTTCAGGCTACCAGACAAGACCATTAGACATTTTGTTAAGTGGTGGTTAGACTTCCATTATCAAGACAAAACCTTTTTCTTTTTTCAGAATAAATACATTTAACCATATTTTGAGTATATGGAATCAATGCAGACATGCAATAATAAATGCAATAAAAGAAGCACTAAATAGGCAATATTAGCTGTTTTTAGTGCTTTTTGTTTGATCATCTGATGCATGCAAAAATGTTTTAATTTTTTTATAGCAATAAACAAGGTATATGTTAGCCACAGGAGCCAGAGAAAGAGGAAAATGTTGCATTTCTATAACATTCATTATCTTGAATGAAGAAAAATTAGATAAATTATTATTAGTAGAATTTTAGTTCATTTTTCACTCAAATAACAGCAGGTATATATCTGGACAGATTCAGTTTAACTGACAGGCTAAAATTATTTTATAGCATTGTATAAATACCACTTTCAAATCCTTCACAGAATGTGGCAATGAGTCGAGAGCTTGAAGGGAGTGCTATAGCTCATTCCAAAAATTCCCAAAGGGACTGAGATCTGGGGAACAGTGAAACCACATTTAAACTCAGTAGTATGCTCTAGAAATTCTCTGCTAATTCTGAGCCATATGTTTGTGTGTTCATGAAGGGGCATTATCAAACAGAACAATTACATTATTCTTCAGCAGAAAGATGATGATAATTGAGTTCAAATCATCAAATAACATGTTAGCATATCCTCAGTCAGTTTAGGGAACTATCTCGCCATGAGATCCTAAGAATATCCAAGTAAATGCTCTCCAGATTGTGAAATCACTGCCACTTGGCTGTAGGATACCAGTCTGACAATAAAGAAACAACAATTTTTATTGCTTTGTAAGATTTCAACCAAACAAGCACTCAGCCATCAGCATGAAGGCAGGCTTGATTCCTCTGAGCACACTTGCGATCCACCATGGTCTAGCAGCAGTAAAATTTTGCAAACTGCACATTCAAAATTCTACTTTACATTCAACACTAGGAAAGTAATGTAGAAATCTATATAATTCAGCTTTTAGCATGCTTCAACAATAGTTTTGAACATAAACTTGTAGAAGAACTTTAACTGTTAGCTTGAACTTGAAAGCTCCAATGATTTATTGCAAAGATATCATCCTATTCTTCAACCCAATTTTTGCTCAAGTATTTACTACTGATTTTTACCTGGTTAGGTTTAGCAAGATTCTGCCAAGTTTTATATAACGGTTGAAACAGTCTTGTTATGATATTATGTGAAAGGGCTCAAAATCTTCAAGGGCCTAGAATCTGCATACGCCCCTGTTCACTTAAATCAATAACTCTATTTGCTGCTTCATCAACTTTATTTGTTTCACTACAAATCACTAATGATGAAACTGAGAGTTTCTTTTGCAATTAGTACAACCAACCAGCAGAATAAGTGAAATTTAAGAATAGCTAAATATTTTGCTGTCTTTTTTCCTTTTGAATGAATTACAGGTCCACTTAAAAATACAGTGGAAGAGTACATATGATTGAACCATTTTAAAGGTAAAGGTTCACAATATTCACACTTAGCATTTTAAAGTCACTTAGATTTGTTTCTGGAACAAGATGCAGCAGCATTAAGAATTTTTTTGCAATCTTTAAGTATTGTGAATAAGTTATATTTGGCAGTTCCACATTTTTTGGCAATTTTACTTTCTGTAATACACAACGGTCTCCTTATTTACATGTTTTCTGTAAAACTACGTGTTATAATTATCTTTTCAATAAACAAAAATTTTCATTCACACTAGAGCATAAATATCACAAATAAGATTAATTCAAGTTTTCTAATTTACAGCTACACACTGTTAAGTGGCCAATCAAAGCTCAGTTCCATAAGATCAGATACAACTTTAGGTGATTGCCAGTTACAACAAAATATGTTACCTTTTAGAGACATTAGGTTTTTAGAAGCAGGAGATGTGAAAAATGAGCAACGCCTTCAACGGGAATTGAACCACGGACCTCTGGACTATGTACCCAGTGTGCAGACCACCACACTATGAAGGCATGCTAAGAAGGCGGGAGAAATACCTTATAACCTTTCTTATTGGCCAAGGTAAAATGTTTTTACAAATGATCAGGTTAGGATTAAACCAGGTTAGGATGTTTATTATTATTTTAAAACTTTGATGTTTGTTACCATCTTAAAACAAAATGCATTTTTTTTCAAATAGCGACTTTTGTTTGCTTTAGATAAAGACAAGAAATTGTTGCCCATGAATGAGGTCTAAAATTATTCATTTACCGCCTACTACATTATAAAAGCACACCGACTATGAGAACAACATTAATCAATAAAAAATGTCCTCTTATCTCTATTTTTTAATAACATTTTACAGTAAATATTAATTTATACCAATAGTACAATAAATTAAATAAACTTCTGATACCTTACCATATATTAATTTCAAAATTTCGAACTATTTTATGCATTGTCTACAAAGTAAACTGGATAGTTATGACAATATTTTGTAATAAGATTTCAGCTTACAGTTCTCATTACAGTCGAAAGTCGTTAATCCGGACTCGTCGGGACTTCGGCGATTCCGGATTATAGATCATCAGTTTAAATCTGGTAAGATGGCATGCAGAAATTACAAAATAAAAAATATGAAACCGTAATTTATGAAATAAAGAACAATTATGATCTAAAGAGTATCAAAATTTACAAAAAGAAAAAGCTTAATATTTATTTGTTTACTTTATTAAACATTTCTTTCAATGTAAGTTGTTTAAATTGCTTCGTTTCATGTGATAATACTTTCTCTTTAATTCTATTAAACAGACATAATTTCTTGTTTAGTTACAAAGTTCCGCTGTTCAAGTCCTATAATTGCTGTGTGGAGAATACCGACTAATTTGTCAATTGAAATTTTTTCATTTTCAATAACCTCTGGGTCACTTTCTTCACTATCGGAAGCGAATTATAATGACGAGAAACTTGATTTAAATCATATCAAAGACAAAGTACATCAAGATGAAATACTACATTTAGTAAGGAATTATAAGCCAAATAAAATAAAAACATCTGCCCTGAAGATAAGGATAGTGCTGACAGATCAACTTCCAATTCATTACGTGCCGCGGCGTGAAATGATAAACAGATTTCGGATTTCGAAACATACTTTTGCTCTGTAGATCCTTGACATATTAGTAAATATATATCGGAAATTCTATTTGACATAATCAAAAGTTCAAGCTTACTTTTATAAAATTGTTCTAACAGTCTGCAAAAAATAATAAGCCGGATCCAATTCGAAGATTAAGGAATCTGCAACTGAATTAGATAAGTTTAGCTTAGCTTATACCATCCGTTACACATTAAATGCGCACACGCATATTTGCAGCCGTAAAGGTCTTACGCGCACTCGGAAATGCGACGCATGCACAGAAAGTTTGTAGCTTTGATGTCCGGATTATAGATCATTCCGGATTATGGGTGTCCGAATTAACAACTTTTGACTGTATATGATTCATTTTCTAATTTTGTTCACAGGTAATTTTCCTGCTAAACAATATTACATATTATTTCAAAATATTCTGATAATAATATTCTTTTTTAGATATATTTTTATTGAAAAATAAATCCAAAGAGAAATGTCAGAGCTTTCAAAATTAAATTCTGATTCTGAGCTTTATTTAATAGTATTTATTTAATAATAAAGATCTAGTTTTATTAGCTGGTAATAGTTTTATCTTTATTTCCCTTAACAGTAAAATTTCTTTTGAAGCATTCTGCAGATTCACAATGCAAACCTCTCCTTTTATTGCTTGTGAAGGTTCTTTTTATTCAATAAAAATATTTAATTATCAACTATTTTGCTACAGATAACAATACATTTTGTTTTTTGCAAATTTCTATTAAATATAAAGAAGAGAATTATTTGCATAAGAAGTAGAGCAGAGTCAAGTGAAAATCAAGACTACAATTCTTCAATAGTTATAATTCAAAACTTAAACAACAATGCTGTTTTTAATACTTAGAAATTGTGACCAAAACAAATATAATGCCCAAAACCACAATGTAAAATAATTCTTGATTTACTGTTTATTTTAATGACATGCAGATTATGATAGCGATTTCTACATTATTAAAGATGATAATAAAATATTTTAAAAAAAAATTATGGTTACACATGGAAAGTAAACACAAGAATCATAACCAGCTAAAATGAGTTATGCCAAGTTCAAATTGTTTAGAATAACTAACCAGTTTTGCTGCTTGGGCTTCACTGTACATCTTATCAAAAGCACCTTCCAGCACAGAACATACTATGGTCAAACCTTTCCCTATAAAAATCACAAAAATATATCTTTATGCAAGATATACAACATTATAATATATTCAGAATTAGATATTTGCAAAAGTTCATCTAACTGTATACAGAAGCTGCAAGTTGAGTTTTTACATTTTACAAAGCTCACAAGTAAGGTACTTACTTTGAGAAGATACTCACATGTAATTTTAAAATTTATCTATGATATCTTACTTCATTTTTGCTGCAGGTAAAGAGTGAACATAATAAAATACATTAATTTCCTCATATGATTTTTTGTTTTACCCTCCTCGACCCCCCAAAATTACTGAGGAAACATATGCGAAGAACTGTGGACAGAACAATGTACCTGTGAATATTTGTGAAGTAGAGGCTTTAGAAATGACGACACTAATGTTAATGACAGATTTCTTTGGGAAAGGCAAAAGACTTGAAAGCAATGAATTGCAAGAACATCTGTATGAATGTTTATTTCAAATATTAGAGGCTTGGAAAATAAATACGCAGTGTTGCATGCAAGTAATGAGACTGCATGTTTTGCTAAAGTGGTTATAATGACTTGGTTAAAACCCGCATACTGAAAACAATTTATGACATAAAAGGAGCAATAATTGGCAAAAATTCATAAAATAACTAAGGAATTTATAGTACAATAGAGGGTCTGAAATCTGGACATGTAATATATTCAGACCTCAGGACCATCAGCAGTGCCATAAAAGATATTTTGCTCTTGACAAACAGATTTCTGCATGACACTTTCAAACATATACTGTCTAGGGAATTATTTTCTAGCCAATGTCAATATGATGATTGACATCAATTATGACCACGCTTTCAGCTCTTGAGTAGTTGTGAGAATTAATAATTGAAGGCCCAAGACATCTTGTTAGGAGGTTAAAAAGCTGCAGTTTATTAACTTCAATAAATCAGTTTTTCTCACTGATGCATTTAGAAGACAGTCACAACTCAATGAGACTAGATTATTTTTGTTTTTTTAATGGCTTAATTGGCAAGACCATACGACACCATCTACCTAAAAGGGGAGGCAATGCATTCTATTTGTCCTTGTTAAGATCAAATTGGAACACATAATTTTGTACATAGCAATATAATTAAAGACAATTGAACATATTTATTCTTTTTCCACTATTAAAATTACATGCTGTTCACAGCAACAAATATTTTTATTAATATATACAAGGTAACAAAAAACTTTCTTGCCATTTGGGACAGTCGGAAAAAAAAGAGTCATAAAACAAATAATAATCACTACTAATCCTTAAAGTAATCACCATCGGCATCCAGTGCCTTTTCCTAATAAGTGGCTAGCTGTGCGATGTTGTCGCGGTAAAACTTAGGAGTCTTGAATGCAAAGAAGTCTGTGAGGGCCTTTTCGATGACTGGCCGGTTATTGAAGGATTTCCCAAAAGTTAGTTGTCCAGGGAATGGAAAAGGTAGTAATCTGTTGGTGTGAGGTCTGTGGAGTATGGTGGATGGGGTAGAGTCTCCCAGCTCAGCCGCTGGATGGTATTCCTGGCCTCCTGAGTCACATGCAGCCTCGCATTGTCATGGAGTAGTACATCCTTACGATTGACCAATGCTGGCTCTTTATGCATCAGTGCCTGATGCACACGTTTGAACTGTTGCGAGCACAGGCCTGCCGTGATGGTTTAGCCTACTGGCAGGAGCTCATAGTGCACCACTTGGTGACTAGTCTGCCAGATAGAGAGCATGATCTTGTTTGGGTGGAGAGAAGGTCTCGCAGTGTGAGGCACATTGTCCCGGGGTGACAACCATGTCTGGAATGACTGGGTGTGTCATACTGGACCCACTTTTCATCGCTGGTGAGCACTTGATCAAATATGGATGCATTGCGATGCCGAGTAAGCAAGAGTGGGGTACCCACTTTCTCAGCTTGTGTGTGGTGCAAATGGAGTCTGATCATTTCATCAGATACCTGGAAGAGTGCAACAAGCTCATCACATGTTTGGCTACTGTCACACTCTATGGCTGCTCTCAGGGCCTCATCATCCAGCACTTGTGGCCGACTGCTGCATGGTGAATCACTAAGACTAAGAGACATATCCCCTGACCAGAACTTCTAGAACCATTTCCTAGCGGTTCGTTCGTTAACGGCATCATCCCCAAAGGCCTGGCAAATTTGGTGACTTGATTCTGCTGGTGACTGGCCCACTTTAAAATCATACAGCAAATAACTCCGAACAAGCGCCTTTGATGCGTTCATTTCAATCAGTGGCTGTGTGAGTTATGTTTGAAGTACCGATGCAATGCACTTTTATATTCTTGGCTAATGTCCGGACTTCCATCCTAACCACTTCATCACCAGGTTTGGCAACTATTTTTATGTAGGAGTTCACTCTTCAAATGTCATATCAGAAAGAGTAAGAACCTTTTTGGTTACCTTGTATTTATTAAAATATATGCAATTTTTATATATCAAAATAATTTAGTAAATTTATAAGTATTACCAAATTATAAAGCATTTTAAATACTTTTATTAATTCCTGTTGTTTTGATTGACTGCAACCAGCTTCTGCCCTGGAAAGGCAAAATACAATTTTCTGGCAGCAGAAAACCAACCTTGATTTGGTGCATATTCTCGAGTAAAAACGCTTACAGTGGCATGATCAAATTATATAAAGAAAAAAGAAATATATGCTTTTTAGATTTTTCAAATGTCAGAATGAGCCTTTTAATTTTAAGTAGAGAAAGAAACTTCAAAGAAACCAATCTGCAGAACACTGGAGATATTCGAATACATACACATGTTTTAGGACCAAAACTTTTACGTGCATACTAACTGATGAGAAAAAAAAAAAAAGTTTTTAACTGACTGGTGCAAGCATTAAAATTTGTATGTTTAATTCTTAGCTTAAAACATTCGCTGGTCAGAAAGTAATAAACAACTTTCCAAAAATAAAATTAATAACAAAAAATACTGAAATCATGTAGTATGGACAAAATGAAACATCATGTGCATCAATAAATTCTATGGATAAAACATACAGATTTTTCTTCCCTAGCAAGCCTGGATCATGCCAGACTTATGAATATCTAAGCTTTAATGTATGGGAATTTGTATCACAAAAAATTAATTAAAAAATTTTAATAAATTTTTAAGCATAAAGGATTAAAAACAGGTCTTATATAAGCAATGGTTTATTAGAATGCAATTATATCAAATGAACAGCATTTTGACTGAATACACAATTTAAGTCAAAACATTAGATATGCCGTTAAAGATCTCAAATTTAAGTAAAATGTATCATTCCATTATATGCTGTTGTTTTTGCACATTGAATTATTTTATAACAATAATGTTCCATTAGATTTCATACAAAAATTACACTTCCAACTCATACCATAATGCATATATTTTCCTGTGACAAAATGTAATAATTCAAAACCCAATTAGGGAAGCGCTTATAAGGATGTAAGGAATTTTGTATATATTAGTTGATATAAGCTTTCATGGTGTCTGCTGAAGTAAGTGCAGGAACCAGACAGGAAAAAGGTTAAAAGAATCCTTTATTAGATTCTTCAAAATTCACAATGCATCAACTTGACGCTTCAAACTGCACCTCACTTGGGCAGTAACTCCACTAACAAGAACTAAACTTAAAATTCAAAGATATTAACAAACCCGTAGAGTCTTTCCCAGGGCTCTGATAATCCTGTTACCTAAAACCGCATCAAAGTCTAGTGGCAGTAAAGTAACAGGAGTTGCGCCACTTTAACAAGCAATAAATACAGAATCAGAAGCTCATGCTACAAAGGTACAGTGCTTGCCCACTCTTTTATAAAGCTTAGTTGTTACGAATCTTTGTGTCTTTAAAGTGCAAAACTACTAGTTCTGTAAAAACAAAAAGATGGCTTAGCATTCTTTCTTACCTTTTGACTATAGTAATCACCCACTCAAAGTGAAAGTTTAATATATATATAATTTATTTACTAAAGAAATATTGATTATATTATCGTCTAATATAAATTTAGTAGAAGAATCAAAAAAGAGGGAACACATATGTAGGAAGTTTAACTCCGAAAATTGTTAGGCGATAATATAATCAACATTCCTTTAGTACATAAATTATTATTATCTTACTTTGCAGCTGTTGCGCAAGTATTAGAAAAACTTGTTTTCAAACTAAGTGAATTTTAGATCATTCAACATTTAATATATATATAAGTTTAATATGTATACTAAACTTTTCAATATATATATATACAATATTACTATTAAATTGTCACATAGCATGTATTACATATACACATTGTTTTGTTTTACTTTTAATTAAATAAATGCTCTTAAAGACTGATGGTATTTCAGTAAGCATCCAATACTTCTTTATATATTACTGCTACTTTCTCCACAGTTTATCAGCATATTATACTTGAAATAACAGTGTTGTATACATTAGATAAATAAATACTGCACCCAATATTACTGTGTTGCATTAATTAATCTAGCAAGTTTAATTGTGGATGTAAAGAACTAGAAATAAAATAAAAAATTAATTTCACCAGATAAATTGCAAATCTGGTGAAATATATATATATATTCAAAATAAAGTAATTAAAAGAAAATTAAAAAGCCTATGACTTGCGCTAAAGCTGCAAAGTAATAAACCAATAATTCATAATAAGAAAACTTTCCATATACCATCTCCAAGAAACACAGGTTAAAAACCCTGAATGAATGGAAAAAAAAATATTAGAAATTAAATTAGTATTTTAAACAGTAATTTCAATCTCCTTATTTCTTGTGATTTTGAATTAATTTTTAATACTCTAATGTTTACTTCTGTTTTTGAGTTTGAAAATGAGAACATAGGGGATACGTCTTCTAAAGTAAGCATCTCGTTCAGATTGTGTTCTTCATGAGAAACTTTAATTTTACGATTTTTTACTATTTTGTTTTACAGGATTCTTTTGGCTGAAATGGACTACTGTCTTTATTTGGATTGAGTATTAATTGTGACTTATGTTTTGGATCTAGAAAATAATTTGATGCTTACTTGGAAGTAAGATGAAACACTCTCTTTAATTTAGTTATTGTTAATTGACGGTAGTTTGGTTTATACCCTTGATAAGTCGATTAATCTGTGATCAATTACAATAGCTACTTTTTCAATACTTAAAATTTACTATTGGTATTTTTGCGATTAAAGATTTTGCTTAGCAGATTTTTTTTAAACAAGGAGATTGAAATTACTGTTTAAAATACTAATTTAATTTCTAGTAAAAAAAAAATGGTTTTCAACTTGTGTTCCTTGGAGATGGTATACAGAAAGTTTTCTTACTATTATGAATTATATATATATATATTGCTGATATATCAATTAAATTTAATTTCAAATCAAACTGTAAAGATCAGAGCTAGAATCAGAAATCATACATATCTTTTGGAAGACTTGTCATTTTCCTACTGTAAAATTAAATGAAATATTTGGAAATCACTTACAGAGTGCTTAAAAAGAGTTGTAATCACTTTATTTACGTTTTTGCCATTACATTCCCATGCTAAGCTGGCATACTTTCTAGTTAGTATATTAACAGCATCTCTATGTAAGTGTGTCTATCATTATGCCAAAACATTCATAATTATTGCAGAATTAGCAAAAAAGGCCACCTTTCAGTATTACTTATTAATTAATTTCTTGTAACTAATTACCTATCAAGCAAACTCAACAATTAAAAGCAGCCACCCCGATATTCATGAAATTCTTTTAAAAATATCAATTAACTGACATTATAATGCCTTATTCCCCCTTCAAATAAATCTGCTTTGCAGTTTTATGTAATAACATTTGTGATTTTTCTTTTTCTTTCTTTCTTTCTTTTTTTTTTTTTTTTTTTTTTTTTAACATTTCAATTACAGCACTAGATCTTTTCCTTTCAAGCTATATTTAACATTTGCTAAAGAAGAAAAAGTTCCAGAGTTAATTTGGGGGAATAAGGAAGAAGAACAAAAATCATGTCAAATAATGCTATAAACTGCTGCATAGCAAACACATTCATGCCATAAACTTATCAGCAATATTCTTATGTTCAGTTCATCCAATTAATTCCCTAATCTGTGTCATGACATTATCCAGAACTCATAGGTACTAAAAATCTTCTGCCTATAATCAAATAAGATGTTTTTATATAAGATATGAAAAATTTTTTCTGAGGTTTTCCCAGCTAAAGCCTGGAACAATCATTATCTGCAATCAATGTATGATTATTTCTGAAATGAAATAGTTAAATAACAGGCAAACTTCAGGTTCCCTTTTAATAAGTTTGAAACAAAATTCAATACACATACACTGTTCTTCCAAATCAATAATTTTCACATTTGATAAATCACAAACAGTCTTAACAGGTAGTGCAAACTTCAGGTTCACTTTTAATAAGTTTGAAACAAAATTCAATACACATACACTGTTCTTTCAAATCAATAATTTTCATATTTGATAAATCACAGTCTTAACAGGTAGTTGGAGGTTTCTTTTTCATTCTTTTTTTTTTTTCTTTTTTTTTTTTTTTTTTTTCCCGTTTCCTTTTCTTTTTTTTTTTTTTTTTTTTTTTTTTTTTTTTTTTTTTTTTTTTTTTGTTTTTTTTTTTTTTTTTTTTTTTTTTTTTTTTTTTTTTTTTTGTTTTTTTTTTTTTTTTTTTTTTTTTTTTTTTTTTTTTTTTTTTTTTTTTTTTTTTTATTTTTTTTTTTTTTTTTTTTTTTTTTTTTTTTTTTTTTTTTTTTTTTTTTTTTTTTTTTCCTTTCTTTTTTTTAACTTGTTAATTTTTGGATAGCACCCCCCCCCAGAACAATTACAAATTTTGGAATTTCATAAAGTAATACTAAATGCAAATGCAAAATTCTCAAAGAGTTACATATTTTTATATTTGCAAACAATTATAAAACTATAAATTTTTATGACTTATGGTTCTTGGAAAAAAACTCTAAAAGATTTTACAATATGACACTTAGTTTTGCATGTTTTGTTTTTAAAAATGTTTCAAACAAGGTGAATGATGAAAATGCATGAGAAAACACACATAAAAAATGTATAAAATAAGAAATCAATAGAAGTTAAAAAAACATACATACAAAAATAAAAAGTCAAATTTTCTAGAACTTAATAAAAGTTGTAGTTTACCAGCTTTCAGCTGAGAAGCAAAAGAAAACATTCTTGGATATTTTGGATTCAGTTCTTCATCTAATTTGCACAAAATCAAAACTTGTGGTCTCCAGTTCTTTGTATGCGGAGGTCCTTCTTCTAATCTCAGTAAACTGTAACGAGCAGCTGATAGAGCTAGACCTCTTATACCATCTCCCCATTCTTTTTCAGCACTGAAAAATCAACATATTTTAATGACCCATAATTAACACTTAATTTTCTATGAATCCACTAATTACAAACAAAGACATTAATTTTAGAAGTAAATTTGATTTTTTGGTTATATAGATATTAACAAGGCTTTAACTGCAGTTAGCAGATATTTAGAACTTTCATAATAAATCAAAATATTGCAGTAATTCAGCAGAAGCTAATAAGTATACAGGCTCTACTTTAGAAACCACTTATCTGCTTGCTTGGATCATAATTCCCATTATTAACATATCGAAATTAAACAAAAGACACATAACATATGATGGTCTCTTAAATTATAACATAATATTTACTAATTAAATCTCCAAAAGACTACTATTATATCTCAAAGAAGGCATATGGTTTCACTTAAAATACAAAATCCTGCCTAACAAAATAAAATCTGTATACAAAATCATGCCTTGAAAATTGATCAACATGAATGGAAAGAATATAGAACCAGTCGTTTGCTAGTGTTGCAATACAAAACATAAGACATTTAATTTATCATCCCCATGCATAATTTTGAAGCAGCTGCCTTTCATATAGAAAGACTGGGTAACTTAGATATACAGGTTTCCATAATAATCCACAAATGTTTTCTTTTTCACTATGATCTTGGAAGTATAAGGTAATGCATTTATTTACACAATTATACAATTAAGAAATCTCTTTTGGACTAAGGTTTCAAAAACAATGTTCTGGTGACAATTTTTTTAAAAGCATATACAAAAGGAGAAAAATCATGTTAACAGAAATCAGAAAATAATAATAAAATTTACTTCCATAAACCTTCAAATATGGCTTACAGCTATTCATGGTTCGTACACATTTCTGCACATGGAAATTAAGCACTTTTAACCCTTTCAGGACAGGCACATTCCCTAAGAACGTCTCTTACAGCCGGGCGGCCCATCCGCGCATCAGTAAAAATCGCATTCAGAGGACGGGTGATGCGTATACGCATTTTAAGGTGGAACGTTTTTCTGAAGGCCACTAGATGGCATCCTGTGTCCATTACTTTTGAAATAAACACAGTTTTAGGTTCCTGACCTTGAGTTTGATATATTCTACTTGACTTTGGTATTTTACTCATCAGCTGTTCGAGGGGGGGAGGGAAAGCGTAAACAGAGGTGGGCTCTTTATATCGCTGCGTGCTAATGAAAACATTCTCATATCTGATTTATATCAAATTCCCTCTTTTTATTCTATTTCTCCCCCCTCTACTATCTACGGTCATTTAGGGTTACTGTGCAGAGTTCTTTTACGTTTTACATTGCCTTCAGATATATTTCCGTTCCTTCTTTTTTTATTTAGGAAAGCCTCACCTCCAGTCTATTATGGCGGGAAGGCGCTATTTATCAGAGAAAGAATACCCTAGTATGGTTAGTGAACCATTTACTAATGCAAATGAGAGTGCTGATTCATTTTCTACAGAGTTAAAAAGTGATACTTTTTCTAAGAGTTACAAAGTGATACTTCTCTGTGCTTCGAAATTTAGCACACTCGTTTTCATTTTAAATTGTGTTACTTCTTACTGTAAATAGTCTTTATTGTGTTCTTTTTATTAATTTTAAACTTTATTGATGGATTTTATCAATTAAAACTTTGGAATAATTTGAATAGCGCTTCCGAAAATTACTTTAGAAGATAAGCAATTTTTTAAGTATATTTTCATGTAAAATAAAGAAAAAAATGTTTTAAGGGCTAATTTTAACATATATAAGAGCTCAAGTAATAATCTAAAATGATAACAAAAATTACGATGCTAGAAGCGAAACTTTTGTTTTTCTGATTTTTGTTATAAAATTAGGCTTAGCGATGCCAAACCTCCGTCCTGTACGGTAACTGCCTTTGATTCTCTTCCGTCCCGCACGAGCATCTTAAACAAAGGTGCGCCGTTGCGAAAAGGTTAAGGACCATTGAAAAAAAATTAAGGACCTATGAGCAAATGGGAACTGAATAAATTCAATTCAAAACATTATTCTATGCCTGAATTTCACTTTTGTAATACCATCCTAAAAATAAAATAGATCCCTAAGTAGTATGCATTATTACTACACATGAATTAACCAACATAATTATTAATAAGTTTGACAATAAAATAAACTACATACAGTTTATCAAGTTGCATTAAATATTTTCGATTTATAATAGTTGGATATATTTGAAAGAAGATAAGTGACATTTACGTTTTACTAATAGTTAGCTTTATGTTGATTTTTTTTTTTTTTTTTTTTAAATTTTTTTTGTCTCATTTTGTCACATACTTGGTCAGTCTAGAGGTTTAGTAAATAGCAGGGAGATTTTATGTCAAACGGCATAAGTTCAAATGAGAAGTAAGATCATAATCAGCATGATTCATAACAACTGACTGAATGTTGTCCCTCTGCTGCTTGTCTAGAAAGAGACCTGCTGATTGGAACAAACCTGAAAAGCCTAATGAAGGCACGGTTGGCAACATTACATTTTTGTGTTTTATCTTGTGACCACAGCGAGTATTAATGAAAGGCAATAACTCGCTTTAATATGTAGAGATAATTTTTAAGGGCAAGTAGTTAGTTATAAATAATTAAATTAGGTAACTAGATAATCTTAGTCATTATGGATTTACATGGCCACTATTAAATTTTATTTGTTAACATAGTCAGGCTCTGATTAATGCAGTTAATGTCATAGCTTTGTGTAGAGTTCCAGGGGTTGTAACTCAGTTAATATACTTTAAGGTTCCAATAAGCCATTAAAGCACCAGAGGTGGTAAGTTGTTTTGTATATATTATTCTAAGTCTCAGTAGATGCAAAAAATAAGTTTTAATTGAATTTTTACATTTTTGTGTTTTATCTTGTGACCACAGCGAGTATAAATGAAAGGCAATAACTCGCTTTAATATGTAGAGATAATTTTTAAGGACAAGTAGTTAGTTATAAATAATTAAATTGGGTAACTAGATAATCTTAGTCATTATGGATTTACATGGCCACTATTAAATTTTATTTTTTAACAATATTTGTTAAAAAAAAGGCCCTATTAAAATCAAAATCTAATAAAATTTTGCAGTTTAAAATACATGTAATTTATGACATTGATTCTTAAACTATATTAGAATAATTACACATTAAAAGCTACAAATCATTTATGCTTTGTAACAACACTCAACAAAATATTTATCCGTCATTTTAATTTGAAGCCTATAAGGTGTTTCTCCCACCTTCTTGGCGAGCCTTCATGTAGTAGTTTGCATATTGAGCCGATATTCCAGAGGTCCGCAAATCGAATTCCGGCGAAGGCGTTGTTAATTTTTCATCTTTCATGCTTTCAAAAATACCTAATGTCTGTACAGTGGCACTCGAACTAAAAGGGTGTTGGATGACGGTTTTCCAAACCCAGGATTTGGCGATTGGGTCCCCTAAAAACCCAGTCGCCCTTTAAAAGGGGAAGTATATAAGGTATTTCTCACATCTTCTTGGTGCAGTGGTTTGCACACTGGGCCAATATTACAGGGGTCTGCAGTTCGATTCCCGGCGAAGGTGTTAATTTTTTATCTTTCCTGCTTTCAAAAATAACTAATGTTTCTACAAGCCTTCGCAAACATTTTGGCTAGTTTATATCAATTTAGTTCTCTTCAAGCATCCTTTCTGACAATAATTAGAAATTTGTCTCAATATGCAAACTAATGTTCTAGCTAGTTTCTGTGTGCTTTATCTCCTAGCTTGTCAAGCTCTCCAAAATGTACCTATGAGGGTTTACTTGATCTGGTAAAAGTTAAATAGTCCCAAACCCCCCGATAGACGTGAAGCAAATTATCATTATGGCTGAAAGTAACTACAATATCAGACAAAGGTTTAAAAATCATAAGTTTTCAATTTCTTTTTTAATAAAAAAAATCCCTTTCTATAATGTCTGCCCATGTGATAAGATTAGAAGCATTTTTGATATTTTCCATGCTTGAGTCTAATGAAAAGTAGAGAAAATAAAGGGAAGATAAACAGGTAAGATTCTAATATCAGAAGTAAAACATTCAAATATTGTTTCCATTATTCTTCCAGACGTTCTCCAAAAAGTAAGAAATTCATTGCAAACTTTCTGTAAAATACATCCATTATGTGTTGATAACATGGAGACATTTTTTATTTTGTTACATATTTCTTGAATCTTCTAGAATCGTGGATCTATAAAATCTTGCCTTCAAATCCTTCTAAACCTTTTAAGCTGCAATGTCTAAAATACTAAAGAAAAATTATCCCAACCAATTCTGTAACAGCAAAAAGCCAGAAATATTTTGGGGAAAGGAAAAAAAAAAAAAAAAAAAAAAAGAGAAGGAAAAAGTGTAAAATTAATTTTATACAGAAAACTGATGCATATTCTGAGAATTTCGAATAATCTGAGAGAATTACATGGGTAAAATGCTTACTATGAAAAAATTAAAAAGAAGACATTTTTAATTAATTACATAACTAATTTTGCTTTTATTAAGAGCTATTTCGTAAATTATGCTTTATAGCATTATACCTTGTTTATTTTTCAGATTAAAAATATTGTATAATAAGTTGCTAAAATGAAACTTTATAATATGACAGCGAAAAAAATGCTTTTTTAATGTTATTTTTTAAATATAATTCTAATATATTACCATTATTTTAATTAAATTTATCAATGTTATGATGCTTTAAAAAAAAAAAAAAAATCGCCGAAAAATTCTCAGATCTTGGAATTAAAAATTTTCTATAGAAACTGATCTTAAAATCACCAAAATGTTGACAAGTCATCAAATTTATAATCGTTTAATAAAAGAATTCACAACTCCAAAAGCGAAAATTGTTTAAGAGCTCTTTATTAGAAAAAATGAATTTCAAAATGCTTATGTTTCACTTCTTGCTTAGAAACTCGAGTATCCCATCATTTATATTAGAAATAGAAACAAATTATAACCCATGAAACCATTCAAAAGATAACCATAAACATCAGTGAATTGTAAAAAAT